AAAAAAACTAATATATATGTTAAATACAATATTTTAATATAAATATTAGTTTTTCTTTTTAAAGTAATGAACCCCAAAAAATATAAATAAATAAAGATATTTAAATGAATCGCGGTTACGTTAACACTCTTCTTTTTTTATGCCTCTTACTGACAAATCAATCAGCCAGTGTAGTTCAAAAAAAGATCCGTTCCATACTAATTCGCAGCACTACGTTTCCAAAGATTAACACAGAATCCGACCATCTTCTTTATTAGTTTATCTATGGGTACACATGTTTCGAATTCTCTATTGACAATTACGTCAAACGTACGTTTTATTATTTTTAGAATAAATAAATTATAAATTAAAAAACAAATTGTCATGCCTACAAAACATTGTGCGTTTGCTAATTGTACGTCTGACAGTCGTTACAAGCAAGATGGTGTAAAATTTGTACCAACAATAGAAAACCCAAATCCATTGCCAGCGACAGTTTCAAAGGTTAGTAATTGTTCACCGTCAGATAAAGTAGCATTCAAATCTAAAGTATCAATAGGACCAGTAGTAATATACATTATAGCATAGCAAAAAGAACGAGGGATAGCTTGGGATAGAAAATTTGGATTGAGTAATTTCATGCGTTGCTGTTTATCCGTTAGACATTTACCACCATCAATTTCAATGAAAATATTTTTATAATTACCATTTGCAATGCATTCTTCAATTCTTACATATATAAAATAACAACATAGTTTATTTAAAATGACAAAATTTTCAACATTACATTTAGGACATTTTTATTACCTGACACGGTTAAGCCACGATATGCAAGCCATCGTTTTAAGTCCCCGACAAGATGATCTTGCACTTTTGCAAATTTCAATTTCGCTCCAGGTACATCATCTTCCGTTAGTTCCATTATAAACCTATACTTTTGACGTTGTTGTCAATAGAGAAATCAAAACATATGTACCCCCCAAGCCTCCCCCCACCGGTGCTGCTCCTAGCGGATCTTTTTTAAATCTTTCCAGGAAAAAAGTTAATTTAATTACGGCTTTGCCCGCCATATCAGCTGTACCTAATCATTTTAATATTTATTAAATTTAGGATAAAAATTACAAGACATTTTTGTTAGAAATAATAATTCCACGTATATAGTTTATTTTAAAATGAATGATATCAAAATTTTTATGACCTAGGAGATAAACCCCAATATAACATCATAAATCAGTGACGGAGAATTTCTAAAATAAAAGATCTATTATTATTTATTTCAAAATAAAATCTTTGGTTTTCTTCCTAAAAATTTTAAAAATACCAATTTATCCCAATTCTTGTCTTAAATTTTCTAGTCATTTTAAGATAAGTATGTAATCTCTACAGGTAGAAAATATTTACAATTCATGATCAATTTAAGTAGCCCTCAACTTTCTTAAAAAGGATTAAAATTTCTAATCGGCAGAAAGTGTTATGCAGATTGTACATTAATTTAGTTAAGATTTACATTTCTGTTTGTGTAGTCCTGTGATTGTAACACGCACAATTGTTAGTTCTTTAATAATAGGCGATAAAAAGCGATATTGATCAAGTGAATTTGTGCAATAAAAATGGCACAAACGCACCTGTGAAATTAAAGTGCTGCATATGAAAACTTTAGTGTTAAATATACATGACGCTCTTGTACATGAACATTTCAATAGTACTACTGTTCGGAGTATAGTTTCTAAGTGTTCAAATATGACCGGAGTTGGAGAAGCAACCATTTATAGACTTTTGAAGCAACGAAAGGATGGAAGTATTATTGTAGCACCTAAAACGTCAACTATGACAAAACCCATTCAAATAGACGGTACAGTTCATCAAATTTCTAGAGATGTTCGACGCCCAGACAGAGAACGCGCTACGTGTGACTAAGATAGCTATTGTACAGTCTGCTAAACAAGTTATTTTAAATAGTTTTTAATATTTTTAGGTAATTAAATTTTAAAAGTGTGGAATAGTTTAGGGATTAAATTTGTCTGATTGGACTTTCTTAGAACGTTTTTAAAAGCAGCTAAAGATAGTATGTAGAATTGAAAATAATTATTATGCCATAAAAGGTGTTTTGGAATTCCTTCAACCTTTTGAAATTGAGTCAGAAAATATAACTTTTATAGGATAGCGGAAAATACCTATAATTTTTTTGTAGGCCTTTGTAAATCGTGGAAATAGTTTATATTTTATTTCTACCTTATTAAGGAAAATGGTACCTATTATTAATAACGGTTGTTTCTGAAACATTACTAAAATTTTCGAAATTTTGTTTTTCTACAAAATAATAAACTATACTATTTAGAAAAAAATTTATTTCTCTTATAATTTTATAAAAAATAACAGGGGAATATTTACATTTCTTGATCTATTAAACAAAACGATAAATTATCTCGACGAATGACACCATGTTCTAGTACGGAAGCTAGCTTTACATTTTTGTTGGTGGTTTCATGGGTTTCATATAAATTTTTTGTAATTGTAGTTTACACGTACATATACCTCTTAACACTTGTTTGCTTTATTAAAAAAGTGTGTTGTTGTGATTTACGTCGAAATAAGTCAAAAACAACTTGAAACCCCATATAAAATCAAAAAGGAGAAACGGAAAAAAATTGAGCCTGTAAATGAACACAACTCAGAAACAAAAATAGCTATCTAATAATAAAAAAATAAAATTTGATTCTTGTGCAGCTTCATCTATATCATTAACTGTTTTTGGTTTTTTAATGGTTTTTCTTGGTGATGAAAATTCCGATATCTCACGGTTATCGATTCTTTTTTTCTCTCCAGAAATGCGGACGACAGTGTTTTTAGATACTCCTGTGGCTGCAGCAACACGATCATTTACATTTTTAAATGGTATTGAAGGTGAATTAAAGTTTCCTTCTCTTCTCATAAACTCTATAACATTGGCTATTATTTCGCGAGATTGACTGTTAATCACGCGGCCTCTTAATTTGCTATTAAACTCCATACTTAGGTTCTATTAAACTGTAATGAGCAAAAAACACAAACGAAAATAAAAGAAATGTTTTAGCGAAATTTACATCTGACATTTACGTCTGAATGAAATAGTGAAATACTTGATGCGCAGAGTGTACTTTCATTGCGTAAATCCGTCGGGATGCCTGTCAGTAGTGCTTTCTCTGTCTAGCCGTCGAAAGCCTCTAGAAATTTGATGAACTGTACTATGAAATAAATGATCCGAAGAAAAGTGCATTACTATTATTTACAAAAAAAAACTACTTTGGATAAACTTTTAGTAGACATTAATGGAGACGAAACTTTGCCAAACGTTAAAAGAAATTATGGAAAACTTTACATGAATTAGATTTCGTTTGAGAGAAGAACAATAGGAAATCTGCGCTCATTGAGAAAGATGAAATTATTTGTTGGAGGAGGCAATATTTAAGGGAAATTAGAAAATTTAGAAGAGAAGACAAAAATATTTTTTTTTGGATGTGACATGAATAAATGAAGGATATTTTGTAAAAAAAGATAAACAGGTTACAAAAGCTCGTCTGGTATTTATGGAAGGTTTGTCTACTGTCTTAAAATTTGCAAATGGTAAAGGTCGTCGTTTAATTATCACTCATATTGGAGGAGATAAAGGATTTGTTAGAATTTGTTTCAAATTCTACGAAAGACTACCATGAAGAAATGACAGCTGATGTTTTTGAGGAATATTTCAGTCAAATGATAGATTTATTACCGACCAATTCTGTAATAGTTATGGACTATGCCAGTTTCCATTCAAGATTAAAGAAACCGTTATCTAACACTAAATGGAAAAGCAAGAGCTCTCTGATTGGCTAATAATCAAAGAAATAGTGGCAGAAGAGGGATTACTCAAAAAAGAGCATGGAGTTAAAGTGTTGCGGTTACCTCCTTATCACTGTGAACTTAGCCCCATTGAACTAATCTGGGCTCATATGAAGGGATATGTCGCGAGAAACAATACAACATTTAAACTTCAAGATGTTCGTCAACTATTATGAGAGTCCATATCAAAAATTTTACCGGACAATTGGTAAAACGCTATAAGACTTGTCATAGCAGTGGAAGAGAAATTTTGGAAACTTGATATGTTAATAGGGGAACAATAGAACCAATTATTATTTTTGTGAGAAGTGGGTAAACTGATGATCGGGAGAAAACGACTAATTTTTTTAGGTATCTAACTCTATATTTATATTAATTATAATAAGTTTACATGACGCTAGTACCCGAAATACAAACAAACAAATTTATATGGAATCACCCCGTATTTCTAAAAACGAAATATGAGTGTTTTATGAGAAAATATTTTTTTAGTATATCATATAAATTTGGTTGTGTGTATATTTATTATTAAATTTTAAGGAAATTTCCTAACCTAATATCTAGTATACTATTTTTATAAAAATAAATGTGGGTACTTAATACTTGACAGTTTACTATTTTTTATATTGAAATAATTTCGCCTTCCTCGTCACTGAGGTATAGAATTATTGATTAATCCCTTAGGGTTTGTTCATTTATATTTTGTGATGTATTGTATTCGAGATTATTCGGGGTGGTAATACTAAAATCTAGTGAAAATTCAGATAAGAAGGTATCAATATTTCTTTTTTTCTGCTTTGAACAATCCTTTGCCATAAAAACTGTACTATCATGCATGTTTAAATAAACTATACCTATGTCATCAAGGTACTCCTATTGTTTTAGGAGATACCCCATATAATTTTCAACTTATTTTTGTACTATCAAACTGTTTAAGGCACTTATTTTCATATTTTATAATGATGGACATCTGTTTTTGCCTTTTAACCTTGTTAATATAAAATCCGAGTGTAATAAAAAGTACTAAGCAACCAATTACAACTATTACTGTTATAGAAGATACTTTGTACTGGTGATAAAAAAAACGTCCTTGCACTACAGAAATGTCATATTGTGCACTAGGCATAATATTAGTCTCGAAAATGCATATACATCAAACTTACTTTTTTATAATACCGTTCGCTATCAATTCTTCAAATAGAGATTCGGTTGTTCTGTCCGGTGTTAAATCCTTTTCTTTCTTCTTTTTGCTTTTTTTTCCAGTTCTTCTGGCTTTTTTACTAGACTTTTTCTTTCCTTTGTGACCTCTGTCTTTATCAAACGCTTCCTAAAAAATATACCAGGATGAGTGATGGTGTTGAATAACTGTAGATACTTCCACAGTCGGTATAGAAATTTAGCATATGTATAAAACCATCAATAAAAAAATGTATATAAAAATGAAGAATCTTACATAAGTACAAAATGGAAAATGAATCGAAAATGCAAACCTGCCGACGACGCTGTAATGGTATATGGTAACAGATAAAAAAAAAGATAAAAACGAGAGATTTTCAACTTACTTGCAGAACTTCCAGTTCAGCCATCATCATTTCATCCACAACTTTTCTTAACTCGTTTTCTATTTCAGTCATCTGCTCATGTTCTATCATATTTTTATAATGAAACTGACGAAAATTCCCAGTTTCATCTTTGCTTCTCCAAACTTCGTCATATTCCTCTTTCCTCAGATTTAATTCTGGCACAAAAGTCGAAACAATTGCTTTAGTAGACTGATCTTCTTCCTCTACATTATCTGATTTGCTATCTTTTGCTGCTTTAGAGCTCTTGTCCTTCTTCGTTTTCGATTCCTTCGAGGATATTTGGGTAGATTTACTTAATTCGCTATCCGTACCTTAAAAATAAAGCAGTCATTAAAATTGTATCTCAATAGTATGGGTCTGTTTGTATATCAAAGGTTTTTTATGTGTTAATTATCTAATTTTCTAAATTTACCTTGTCTACTTAACATAGTTCTTGATGCACTTCGGTCCTCTCCTGTATATTCCGGAATCTTACCAGTTGTAGTTTTATACTCCAGTAACCATGCTCTAACTTGATCACTAAGTTGTTCCAAAATTACATCTCTTTGATGTTTCTCTAGATGAGCTCTAATATTTTTAATTGACTGTTCATAATCCTTACGGCGAAGTTCTTGTAAAGTGTGTCTATATTTTTGGTTTTGTTTATCTTTTTCTATCTCTTCACTTTTAGTTTTAACAGGGGGTATCATTCCTATTAACAGAATAAATATCCGATATGTTTAACCAGTAACAAAGACTACAAATTAAATAATTTAATTAATATTAAAAGTTGGGATGTTTCCAATGATATTAGTAGAGGTTCTAATGTAAATTATTTATATAATTTTATTTGATTCCCTCCAAAGTTATTCAATCAAAAGCATGGAGAATGCTAATAATCCTTGTGATTTTTGCACCTAAGAAAATCTGTTTAATATGGATTATAAGGACTACTTATAAAAACCCACTTTGTCAAAACCAGTGTGACTAGAAAAGTCCTCGTATCCTGAAGGTATTCATTGTCACAAATATGAGCTGCATTGACTCTGTACTGAAAAAAGTACTATCTTTTTTAACTATAACGAAAGATACTCTATTAATTAGAAGCGGTTAAATTCTGTGGAATCCAGTACCCAGTAGAAGAGCTCCTGTGTACTATTGGGCATTGGATTTAAAACCCTTGAATATCTATAATACGGTAATCAAATTATAAACGTTATAAATTTTGTCGATCAAATATTGATATATTAAGAGGGACTAAACACTAATTAACCATTATCGTATTAGAATTAGAACCATACAGGATACAGGAGAAACTGTACAGGTGAAGCACTGAAACATTTATGCGCCTCTGAATATTAATTAATTGGAAGCGTATCTGGATCATCGAAATGAATGTAATAAGAGACACATCCCCAAATAAACCCACCGGAAAACTTAAAACTTACAACCGAGCTATTTCTTTTAGCACAAACCAGCGTAGAACTGTAATTATGATTGTAAATCGTCATACACTAGTAAAGAGGACACTCAATACAAATCACAGCCTCAGATAATCTAGAAAAGAATTAAAAACTACAAGAATATATAGTTAAGATTCTTGATCGCAGACGGACACAAGACAAAACAATATATTTCACATTTTAACAGAGTAGACTTATTAATTATTCAAAATTTAAAATGATATTTATATGAATAATTTTAAAATTTATAAACAAATCTCAGAAATCCCCCTACGAATTATTAAGACCATCCCCGAACCCCAAAGGTGAAAACAAATATATGTCCATTAAATTATACCTATGAGCAACATTTCTTGTAGTTTTCTCCTTCTAGTCGCTCTTCTAGCTATATATCCTCTCCAGATTTTTTGGATTAGCATTGCTGCTGCAAGACTTATCCCGCCTCTTTTGGCTTCTTCTTCTGGAGTTTCTTGTACAGGTTTTCCTTTTTCTTTCATAGATCTGATTTCTTTCATAAATTGATGTCGCAGCCTTCCTTGGCGGGCACGTTCATGAGTTTGTATAATTAGGATCGCCTTTTGTTCGGTCATGGGAACCTTCTTGGGTACTTGATCCAGAAAACCCAGTCTGGAAAGAGTGTCATCGATGAGCTGCAAAGTTTAATCCTAATTAATTTAAAAATAACGGGTATTGTAATGTAGGTTATAGTTTTACAGGTTTAGGAAGACAACATTCCCACATGTATTGGAGCTAACCAAGATGCCTGACTTTAATCCCCTTACTTATGGAAATTGAAGCATTACGTCTCCTTTGCAATTTAAAATAAGTTTGTTAGTCATCAGATGAAGCTTGCGGCCATACAAATGCTACTAGTTACATATTCCTAAACAAAATATAAAACCATACCTTCTTGTGATAATCAATTTCATCTTGCCGCTCTCTTCTGAAGCAAGTTGGCACCATCAACTCTCTCTGATTAGGAGTAATCTTCAACTTCTCAATAACATCTCCACAATGGGTGAACTCATTTAAATCAGCCTCCACTAAATCCGCTTTCAATTCCAAAATTCTTCCAAGGGAAGCTTCCAGTAATTTTTGAACAAGCATCCTTTTTTGAGGTTGTACCATTTGATCGACACATACTGTCAGCTTATTGGCTATTCCTATATACTTCATGTATAAAATTACTAAGAGGTCTCTGTCTTCACGTCTGTCTGCTTGGACGGGTTCTAACTGAACAGTTTCGTTTAAGATGTCTTGCGTTGTTCTGAATAGTTCGGTGTAAGTTTTGTGTGACATTTCAAATTATCTTAAGAAAAATTATTAAATCAGAAGTGGGATATGGGCTACATACTATATACATCTATAACAATAGATAAAGGGAGTAAGTACATAACCATCAATAAAAAAAAATATTTACTGAGAGATATGGTGATATATACGAGTATATACTAGTACACTGTAGATTTGAATTGGTATTACACATAAGAATTTATTTTATTCCAAAGTACATAACTCAAAATTATTTTTTAAAGATGGTTAAAAATCTGTAGAAAATCCGAAATAATATTAAGTATGACACTCAAGTGATTTTATTTTCCGAGTGAGATGGAATATACACTCACCGGCACGAAAAAAGGGGCACTTACACAATTTAGATATAAAAATACCTTACTAGGTTGTAAGTTTACTAATTTTTAATATTAATGTATATATTAATTTAAAAAAAAAAGGTTTTTATTATTATTTTCTTTTCGCAACTGGTGACATAGTGAATTTTTCGTAACCAGTTTCGTTTACAAGGTGTCGCTTTATACGTCAAAGTTAGAAGAAAGATATTTATTGTTTTTTGAAGTTTTATGGTTATAATAAATAACTTATACACAAACAAAACATTTTTTAAGTAATTTTTAATATCAATCAACTGTTTATTTGAAAAGAAAACCTGGGTTTTATTAAAAAATTACTAAAATAAAAATTGCATAATTTTATATCACCTAAAAATGCATAGTTGGCCATTGGCTTTTATTGTTTCGAGAAATTTGACAGGTATTTTGAAGTTTTTCAGTATTTATCAAGTTTAAAGTTGCATTGCGTTTATTTGAGCTGAAAATATGACGGTTAATCCCTGAAACAGCGGCTATAGTTACTATAGTCGCTTTGTTTCAAGACAGAATAAGTAGGCGATATTTGGCATCCAATAGTATTGTGTATCGTATTTATACACGTTTTTTTTTTTAAACTGGAAGTTAAACTGGACGACCTGGAACTGCCCCGTAACGAAAAACTAACGCCCATAATGATCGCTTTATCATCTTACAAAGTCATCGTCACGCTACAGCTGTAGAAATCTGAAATCGACTCCATCACGTCCGGAATACCAACGTACGCGAAAACGGACTGTTAGACGAAGACTTGAAGAAGCCAACCTTGCTAGTCATAGACCCACAACAGGTCCACAGCTTCTTAGACGTCTCATCGGGTCGCGCGACTTTAGTTTGCCAGGAATCATGAACCCTAGGGTGAAAATGAATGTGGGGCCTATTTTGTTTCCTGATGAGTCGATATTTAGCCTGCGGCCTCCAGAGAATATGGTGAAGACCACAAGAGCATTTTGTAGAATGTACCTACCTTCCATTCTAGGTCCTAGGGCAGGCTACCAAGGAGGTTCAGTTATGGTGTGGGATGGAGTTTCTCTGGAGGAACATACAGAATTTTACATCGTTCCAAGAGGCTCATCAACTACTGCCAGGTACATTGATGTCGATTTTATTGGAGGTAATTTTATTCTGATGCATGATAATAAGGGGAATAGCTGGGACTAATCCCGGAGGGAAGATTTTTTTTTGTTTTTAGTGATTTCACTAAAGAGGAGGACAAATTTTTGCTTGAAGACTTTTTTAGAAATGTGATAATGACAGGGCTTAATTATTTTATAGTCGCGGGGCCCGACCTGGCTCTCGGAGGCCCTGGAATGCTAACCCAATTGAACAATTGGTTACATTTGGTACATACTTGGGCTCCTTTAACATTAAATAAATTGCAACAAACTTTAGGGGAATGAGACCTTACCTTATTCCTCAAGAATACATTCGCCATTTTATTATAGGCATGCCAAGGAGAATGCAAGCAATATTTCAAGCACTTGGAGGAAACACCCTTTATTATAAATGCGCCTCTTTAGTTTTTGCTAGCTTCAGTTTTCACTAACTTAAACTTAAGCTCACTTTGGATAACGCATTCGTTTTTTTTGTGGTGTCTTCTTTAAAATGTGACAATAGTTTTTTTTAAATAAACGGTTGATTGTTGTTAGAAAATACTAAAAATATGTTGTTTTTTGTGTGTAAGTTGTTATAACCATAAAACATAAAAAAACAATAAATTAATTTTTTTTTGTTTGAAATCTGCAAGTGCTCTTTTTTTTTCGTGCCGATGAGAATATGTAGTTTACAACGGTAGAGATTAAACATTATTTTTTGTTGTTAATTACGGCCATTTGCCGAGAAAATTAACTGAATGTTTTACGTTTGGAAAAGGACAAACGAATTGCAAGATCGAGTTGCGAATATGTACTATTTTTAGATATGATTTATTCTTTGGAGATGAGCTTTGAAAGTTAGCATGCTACCATCGGCATAAGCAGGGGCTGTTAACTCAAAATATAAGGAAGGTACTTTAGTACCACTCCAATTAACGGGATGACGCTCGTATCGAAATGTCAGTTGTCATCTCGTGTCAAACTTCAAAATTCACTGAATTTTGATTTATCTAAATATATTTTTCAATACCTTTTTAAGCATCTTTTCAAATGATATGAAGATGAGTTTCAGCAACGAATAATAAAGCACACAGATATTAAATATGCGGTCGTCATATTAAGGATAACCAAACAATTTGTAACAAGAAAAATGCATATTGTACTGTTTGGCACCAATGGTAAGTGATATTTACAAACTTGTTTTTGATTCAGTGTTAAAATAATTGGTTTGTTATTTTAATTTCTTTTTTTCTACACCCACATGCATATTAGCTTATCTACGCATAGATTACAAAACGAAAAAGTATGGCTATTGCCTTCAACTGAACGAATATATTTCATATTCATTCTAGGTAGTGATAACACCGCAAAAAAATTAAATTCACCAATCACAGTTCATATTTTGATAAACCGACTGCTAATATTTTTAAAATTTGAAATAAGTGACAATTCTGTCAAACTAATTGTCTGTATATTTTTTTTGAGTAATTCTTGTGTAGAATCGATAAATAATAGAATTTCTATTTTTAATTCGTCTATAATTATAAATAATAATAATAATAATAATAATAATAATAATAATAATAATAATAATAATAATAATAATAATAATAATAATAATAATAATAATAATAATAATAATAATAATAATAATAATAATAATAATAATAATAATAATAATAATAATAATAATAATAATAATAATAATAATAATAATAATAATAATAATAATAATAATAATAATAATAATAATAATAATAATAATAATAATAATAATAATAATAATAATAATAATAATAATAATAATAATAATAATAATAATAATAATAATAATAATAATAATAATAATAATAATAATAATAATAATAATAATAATAATAATAATAATAATAATAATAATAATAATAATAATAATAATACTCTCCCTAATTCATCCCCTTACGAGTGAATTTCAACCCCTGAAGTCGACTGAACGACTTGTGTAGGGGAAGGAACGGCTATTATTATTATTTGCCGTGGCGCTCCGGGGCGACTTAAAGATGATTGATGGTGCCATTTGACTTACAGGTGAGGATAACCCGGAAAACCTCACCCACCATCATCGAGACGGTAATGTATGGCGAATTTTTTTTAATCTGCATGTCATATCAACAGAAATTGAATTTCTATTAATACGCCACACATCAAATCCTAAACCGAACCATGCAATTTAATTAAAAATCCACATGGTCTGGTCTGGGATTCGAAACCCAGCAGTCTCAGACTCATAAACTTGCCTATAAATGAATATAAGCGCGATAGACCGCTACACCACCGTCCCGATAATAATTTGTTAATTTAAACAAAACTATAGGAAGTCAATTTAATTAACAAAATAAACGCGTAGATGGTCTTGTTGTCAGTGGTCTTGCCTTCCATACAAAAGACTCGAGTTCGAATCTCAGATGGAGAAATACAAAATTAAATTTTTTTTCTTGTTTATTTTATTTTATAAATTAGTAAAAGTTATTTTTAAATTAATCATATTATCATAAATCTTAAATAATTTTTAGTATTTGTAGATTTTCGTTAGTGGGTTGTAGAAAAATTATACTGTACAACTCAAGTGGATTGTCCAAACTACTATTTGTTTTCAGTTTTTAATGATTATTGTTATTGCAAAGAAAATAGTGGCCGTCCAAAATACTCAGTATATCGATGAAATCTGTGATCCTCATCCATCAATATCAAAAATTGATTCAATGCCATTGACAACAAACAAGAAAAATTACCCCAAAATCTTCAAGGGTTCAAACGTGTGTAAGTTTAATTTAAGCTCGAAAGCTAAATTCATTTATCACAATGCCCAGAGGATGAATAAGAATTTGATGAACTACAAGCGATCTACAAATAAATCAATAAAAAAATTATCTGATGATGAAATGCTGCGCAACCTAACTCGTGGACTTGATAAGCATAATATGGCAAATTATATCCACACTCAAATTCGCATTGATAGACACCAAAAGGATGACGCATGAACTTCAATTTTTCAAACTTATTTGCCACTCGTAAGTTGCAAAACTCTTATAAAGGTCTTGAGCACCATACATGCTAATTTTGTTACAGAAAACATTTTTTATAGGTTTGTTTCATAAATATTTAATTATTTAAATGGTGTAAATGCATATTTGTCTGAGCATTTCCATGTTTAAATAGACAAATTGTATGATGTGGAATTAATTTACTTGTTTACTTTCATAAAAAAAAAATAAAAATAAATTGCTTTTTATTTCAAATTTGAAGTTAATGAGAAAATATAATGAAGTAAAATCACCTGCTTGAAGTTGACCCTACCATGTTATGATAATTACACCAAAGTTGTACCAATATTTTGCAACTAATTTGCAACTTTAAGCAACCGGTATAAAAAAATTTGTAACCTTACATTTTTGTTCTAATCGCTAAAACAAAATTGGTGGGGCCAAATTCACGCAGCCCCACCACATCGTCGTATTGACCTCGAACCTTTTTCATAATTTAGCAACTAATTTGCAACTTTAGGCAAATTTCGTGAAAAAATTTGCAACCTCGTGGTTACGTCAGAAACGAATTCCTAAGTTGGTGGGGCCAAATTCACGCGGCCCCACCACATCGTCGTAGTGACCTCGAATTTTTTTCATAAATTAGCAACTAATTTGCAACTTTAGGCAACCTTTGTAAAAAAATTTGCAACCTCGTGGTTACGCCGGAAGTGAATTCCTAAGTTGTTGGGGCTTAATTCACGCGGCCCAGCCACAACGTCGCGTAGACCTGGAATTTTTTGGGGCCAACATCTTTTTCTTAATCTATTTTATTACATACTAACATATATTTAAAATTTATAGTTACAATATTACAGTTTTACTTTAATAAATTAAGATGGTGATATAAATATAAGCACCATGTGCATCTACTAAATATTTAGTAGGTACATTTTTGTATTTGATAACGTAAATCATAATTAAACAAAACAAAACAAAATAAAATAAAATATAATTTAACATTTTAAGAGGAGCATATTATTAAATATTCCTATATCTGTAAAATATAATAAAACAATTTTAAGTAACCAAGAAGAGTGACTTACAAGTTGTTTTAAAATTGTGTAATAAGATTTTAAACCTAATAAAAGGTATTACTCTAAATGATATTAATGGTGAAGAAATAGAACATAATAAAGAAAATAATATTACAGAGAGTGATGATGATGAAGACGCAGAATCTGAAGGGAATTACAGTTGCAAATTGCAAGTTGCAAATTAGTTGCAAAATATTGGTACAACTTTGGTGTAATTATCATAACATGGTAGGGCCAACTTCACGCAGGTAGTAAAATCAAATAAAAATATAAATTGGCAAAATATTTGACTAGTTTCAAATCATAAAACAGTCAATATGGTTGTTTATAATTTGAAACTAGTCAAAATAAACCAATTTATTTTTTTTATTTGATTTTCTAATTATATTTTTCGCAGCTAGTAGAACGTTAAATTTCAAAATTCCCGCCGCAAGCAGCCACATTGAATTTAGTAAAACTCCAATTTGATAGATGGCAGCACATCACCTCAGAATTTTACCGAGTATCCCATCTATTCACATTATCTATCTATGCCGGGAATGAGTTACAAATTTTATTGGAAACTTTAATATGTAAGTAATAACTTAATTGTGTTTTTATACAATGTAGAGAGGGTTTGAGCAAGCAGTGTGATATTATTTTTACAATATATACAGAGTTTCAAAAATAATTTTGTACATTTTTAGAAGTAAATACCTAATTAAAAAAAATATATTTATGGTTTTGTACTTACCTATCTTAAACCCCTTTAGTTGATATAGACGTATGTGCAGTTATTCCTTATGTATATATTTAGGCAATTATTATTATGACTGATTTGAACTGTGGAAACGTTATCACTAAACCATGAAGCAGCACAAATCCCTACATTACCAGATTAGGACTAGTGCTAAATTTATCCATAATGTCTGGGAGCTATTTTAAAATTCGGTGTTTGCGGTAATGTTTGATCAATATTTTCTACATTATGATTAGTCACGATACATCAATAAAGTTTTGATGGAAAATGCAAACTTCTTTAACATAAGGTAATCTTTTGAAAAAGTTATTAATTAATTTGGATCCTTTTAATAATATTATTTTATGAATCAAAATTCTAGATAACGTTGACGCTTTTAAAGGAATGTTGGGATGAATTGTTGATGCGGATTAAAACATTTTGTTCATGTGATCCTGAATCACTTCCAGGAGTAGAGAATTGGTCTGACTAGTCGTGAGATCGCAGAAGAAAGTTCAAGAGAGCTGAGACCATTTCAGTATCAAATAAAACAGAACGCAAATTACACGTAGATTACGTAGTTGGTCCAGGCGCGGATCTGTGAAGATTTCTTGAGGGGAGGGTTGTAAATAGTTTTATTCGTCGGCGTCATCTTGTTTTTTTTTGCTTTCTTGTAAAATCTTGAAGTAATTACCCTTTTACCCCCTTGTAACCGCGTCTAAGTTGGTTGATGAGGTGGAGAAGTAGGCTTGTAAACGAATGCATTATTTTCAAGATTTTAATATATATATGTAGGTACCTATAGGTTTGTTTTGGTTCACGTTCTAGAATTGTTCCAGAACCATGCGCAGCTATTGCGCAATGGTCCGTAATTATAAACAATTCTGTAACAATTCCATTTGTACTCGAAACCAAAACACTGCCTGAGGCTCGATTCTCGAGTTCATTGGAAAATTTTCCCATGGGAAAAGATTCCACTATTTATATTCCCATGGCAATAGGTTATGCAATTCTCTAATAGACATTCCCATGGAAATAGTAGTTTCACGTATGTCCACGAATATTTCGAAACAACCAATAACCAATAACATTAAATATATTTTAAAATTTTTTGTTGGCATTATTTGTATTTGTTGTGGTTTTTGGGTAACCAATTACCTGCCGAAACTCCGCGCTGGAGCATGTGCCGTGCCGAGCAATCGCTAGCATGACCGAGGAACAAGTGAAAATATTCGATTATTATTAAAACTTGTCGAGTTATTCTTAGTTTTTCTTTCCACATGTTAGCTTTTGTATGAAAGAGCAACGAAAGTTTCGAGAAACTAATAAATTCTTTCGTTAACGGAAATAATAAAAGTTTCGTAAAGGTCTTGTAACCTACCGCACCCAGGTACCTTAAAAATGTATTAATTCCATTTATTAAATATAATATTGCATTCTTATTAAACTAAAAATCCTTCATTTAACGAAAAATCTCCTAGATAATTAAATCTTATTTACGACACCTAATAAATAATAGCTATAACCACGTCCGTAATATATTCACGTATCTCTGAGAACCAGCCCAAAGAAAACATTTCTTTCACGAAGTAATTATCATTAACTCGCTTATCTTGCTAGTTTCGATGTTAAGACCTATTTCGACAAAATTCCGATACACAAAGCTTTCAAGGCACATAATAAATAACCCACCCCCTTTTGCACCCACATTCAGATTTTCTATGAGAACCAAAACGATAGAGACATCACAAAAACGATTAAACTGTGTATAAAAAGTCAGACCCAAATGAGCTCGGATTCATTCATTTTCAATTATTTGATGTGCAATCATTTCATTTTTAATTATTTGATGTGCAAGCATTCAATTTTTATCATTTGATGTGCAAGCATACATTTTATTATCTGTACCCAGTTATATAGTCTGTACCTTTCCTAAACGCTCTTCCTAAACGACGTATATCCTACAATACCTCCTATCCCTGAAGCTGTCAACGTCTCGACGCCCAAGGTCCTGCCGTCCTACTCCCTATGTCTCGAACGACGCTCAACGTCCCGCGCCTTATTTCCGACGCTTGCCGTCCCCAAATATTTCCTTCATAATATCACGTCCTGCACCACCTACATAATTCTACCGTATATCATTTCTACTACTAGAGGAAAAAGGCCAAATACAGTAAGTAAAGAATTTAAAGTAAAGTAAAACTTGTGAGGTAAATAATAACATTTCAAAGAGAGTAAAACAAAATAACAAATAAAGAAAGAAGAGGGGTAGGGGGTGGGCCGTCACAGTCTTATTAAATTTACTACAAATTTCTCAATTTGTGTTATTTGCCAGTCCCTTAGCAGTTCCCACAATTTCTAACTGATTTAAGAAAATCAGTTCATACAGTTTCTTAGTGAAAGAGAAGTAAAAATAATATACCTACATAAATAAAATAATATCAATCTATAAAATGTTTTAATTACAATTTCACCAAAAATCCAAGATATCCAATAATCTTTGGTCATGTCTTTCGTTAAATTTTCGACTTTAATGCGCAAACTCTAGTACAATTCCCATTGGAAAACACAATTTCCAATGCTCGTAAGCAGGGGAATATTTTCCCATACTTCTCATTGGAGAAAATATTCCACCGCTTATGTCGAGAATAAGAAAACTGAATTCCCATGGGAAAGTTTTATTTTCCCATGGGAATAAAAGTCGAGAATCGACCCCCTGAACAGTTAAATATCAAAAAGTAAATTATAAATAAAAAGAAGAAATAACACAGTGTCAGTGTCTGAGTAAGAAAGAGGCCATATAATATTGTAAAACTTTGATAAATTAAATAATTATTCATAAAAAATCTTATGACCCAACATCAACTAATCAACTACTCCATTCTCATTAGTCATTCGAAAATTCCTTGTAAAAATTTCAACACAAAACATAGCTAGGACCCCAAAAACAAAACTACTTGTAAAAAAGCGCAAGCGCAAACATATCAACTCTGAAACAGTTCTCGCTTTGGGCCAGAATCGACGTTACTGTTCAAGAATGGTTATGGAACCATTCCCAAAAAAACCAAAACACAGAACTTACAGGTTTGGAACTAGTTCTGGCGAAACCAAAACAGCGGATATCTACTGCGCATGCTCCAAAGGTTCTGGAAGAGTTCTACAACAGTTACGAAAGTGAACCAAAACAAAGCTTACATGTTTATTTCCGCTGATTCTTCATACCATGTTCTATTTTTCTTCTGTTTCTTTTACATTGTATGTGGTATGTGGTCCAGGTGGGTCAACTTTTAGCTTAGCAAGATGTGCAGGAAATTTTCATCGAAAAATCGGATTAGAAGGCCTATTATATGTTTCGCCCAGTTTGCACAGCTTCGGCTAACGCCTCAGCTGTGCAAAATTCTGGGCTCAACATATAATGTTGGCCTTCTACCCTAGTAACATAATATACTATTCTTATCGGTCACCACGCTCAAAAAGTGTGAATAAATAAATAATTATAATTGCATAAGTTTATAAAAAATGCTATGCAATAGCTTTACCGCGGCAGTCCCCGAGTGCCACACGTATTTTTTTCTTGTGGTTTCATGAAAAGTTGAGTTTACAAGATGCATGTAAACACATGGAAATAATTATTTGCAAGAATAGTTCAGGTTCAGCAACAATTAGAGAAGATTATTTTGTTGAAGTAAAATGGTGACAATTTTGAACACATTATTTAAAGACATTTCTTTACATAACATAACAGAGCATTCCTTTATTTAGTTTCGTTATTTCCATGATGTCATATGTTACCAAAAGCATGTAACTACTTCTTATCATGTCGGTTATGTGGTAATGTTTGAACATTTTTGTATTTACTATGAAGAAAATTACATTTGAAATAAAGGATACTGAAATAACTAGAGATATCTACTGGATACTGTTATTTATATTAAAACTCAAAGATGAAAATCGTGATGGAAATATATTTCAAAGCAAATGTAACGTAATAAAAACCTTTTTTCCTCTTTGTTGAAGGGGACATCATTTTAAATAAATAGCAAATTCTAAAATTTCTTATACATTTAAAATTAAATAAAATTTGACACATGACGTTACATGTTACGTTACCACGGTATATGTGACGTTGTCAGATTAACCACAATACTACCAAAGCCATATTCCAGCGGTCAACTGGTTCAAATATATTTCATGCTATTTGAAAACGGTTTGAACTATTCCCATTTGCATCTGTTTTTGAAATGTTTCATTAAGAACGGTTCGAGGAAATACAAATGTGATTAATGTCAAAAATATTAACAAACATCATAGAGGATAGCAAAGACAATAAAATTCATGATAAAAAGATTATTTATATTGTGGTCATAAGAAAAAATTTGAAAATGCATAATTATGAAGGTTTATAATTAAGAATTTTTGAAAACTTGACCTTGTAATTCTAAATACCTGGTTAAAGTCGAATTCTAAATATAACGATCCATTTTTCATAAAACTCTGGTAATATTACATGAGGGTCTCTTTGACATATGAGGCAAAAATTATCTATTGCCAGATATTGACAAAATCACAAATCGTCTAATATCTTTGGTCCAAGTGAGTCTAAAAACTACAGAGAGCCAGCACTAGACAAGCAGGAAAGAAACAAAACCAGCGATGCCAGCCTATCCTGACTAGTGTTTACCACGGTACAGCTGAGGTACCCAGTATACTACTAAATTGTTTACCGCGGTACAGGTAAACAATTTAGTAGTAATAACGCTCATTTGATATTTCATTCCTTACTGCGAAAGAGTTACAGGTTGCGATGTAACAGAGTAACTTTTGGGAAGTATATTAACTGCCTAATGAAAAATCAAACTTGACTGTATTTCAGCTGGCGCATACAACCATTTCGCTATTTTTATTTCTTTTCTGTAACTTGATGCTAATCAGTTATTAGGTTAACGCTAAGATATATTACTAGATCTTCCATAAGAATAATTTTCTGTAAGTATACACAACAAAAATAACTTAACGCAATCATATTTTTATTTAAGTAAGTACTTATTTTGATGACATAATACATAATCCAAAAATATGTGGGACTCTACTAAACGGTTATTTCCTTATAGTATCTACTTTAATTTAACAAATTACTTGAATACAATTTATAACCTATTATTAAATTTCAATTTTAGAATAAGTTGTAAAACTATATTACAGGGTGTAAAAAATACAGTAAACTGCAAATTTTATGTTAAGTTTCATCTGTCAACCATTTGAAATCACGAAAATATTCTGACTGGATTGACTATATTTTCTTAAAAAATAATCTCATTTTCTAAGGAATACTAATTTTTATTAGTTGGTAAGTAATGTTAAAGGACCCCGCACACCGCTTATGGAAAAGTGGCGACCTGTTAAATGTCATAAATTTTTGATATGTTGCAGTTCTTGACCTCCTAAGCAATTGTGTCAATGGGACCATTCAAATCATATGACTGGTTTTTGAGATACAGGGTGTTAAACTTGAGAAATACCACTTATTTGATAACAGTTAGTTCCGGAGAAACCTAATCGATTATAATTTTTTGTGCCAAATCTTATTGTAACATCTTTTGGCATTCTACAAATATAAAAAGAGGTCAAAAATTATTTATTTACAGGGTGGGCCAGAAATAAGCAAGGACATGTTTTTGGCTCACCCTATAAAAGAAAATAATTGTTGACCTCTTTTTATATTCGTAGAATGCCAAAGGATGTTGCAATAAGATTTGACACAAAAAATTATAATCGATTAGCTTTTTTCTGAAATAAACGTTATCAAATAAGTGGTATTTCTTAAGTTTAACACCCTGTATCTCAAAAACCACTCATAGGATTTGAATGGACACTATTGCTTAGGAGGTCGAGAACTGCAACATATCAAAAATTTATGACATTTAACAGGTCGCCACTTTTCCATGAGCGGTGTGCGGGGTCCTTCTAAAAATTACTCCTATCAGCCTAATCATTGCGGCGACGCTGACCCTGGGAAAAAATAATTGAGTTGAGGAATATTTTTTGTTGGTTCTGCTATTTAATTTATCCAAATCTATCTAGTGGTCCAAATGCCCAATTGTAGTCCACAAAAAGTTACAGCTATGTAGGGGTGCGTTTCTGATTGGAGTCCCTCGAAGAATTTTAATGCAAATCCGCGCCCAGAGAATGATCGCCAAACCCTGTAACGGTTGGGACCGTTATTCGTTATTTTGACACATTCACCTCTACTCAAATGTCATTTGTCGTCTTCTTCTTTTTTTTATTCGCCTTGTGAAAATCATTTTTGACTTGAATGTCAACGAATCAACTAGATTTCATTTTAAATTATCTTGGCCATCCAATGTACTAAATAATTTTTATCTATCGTATAATCCGTCTGATTTTATAAGTTTTAATACTAATATATTGTTGAAAATATATATTTTGTACAAGAATTTCTTAAATAAAATGTCAAATTTTGAACATAACCTCAACAATGGGTAACACATGGTTTTATATAAAATTATATAGTATTTTGTTTGGAATAAAATATTATGCTTTACTATGTTTAAATATGTTAAATAAGATTTTTCCTTTTCATATTAATTTTAGTCTCTGTAAAATTATTCATTTAATAGTTTTAAATTGTTTATTTAATCGTTAAAGCATTTTATCTAAATCCTGTTCAAATTTCCTATTTCCTGTCATAACATTTCCCTTTCTTTTTAGCATGGCTATATCTAGACGGTTTATGTGGATTTATATCTAGAAGTTTTGAATTCCTTTCAAGACAGTTTATGTGGATTTATATCTAGATGGTTTATTTGGATTTATATCTAGACGGTTTATATGGATTTTTATCTAGAAGTTTTGAATTCCTCTCAAGACAGTTTATGTGGATTTATATCTAGATGGTTTATTTGGATTTATATCTAGACGGTTTATGTGGATGTATATCTAGACGTTTTGAATTCCTATCAAGAAGTTTTATGGTTTTTATACCTAGAAGTTTAGTACAATCTGAAAACCGTGGTTTGGTTCATCTATAGAAGATCTACATGTTTCGAGTTAAGTTAAAATTCCAAATATCACGATATCGTTCAAGTCGCAGAATTACGAATAAGGATACCGAATCCCTTTGAAGTTGCCTGAAGATATACCATGCAATAACATTCCTTATATTACCTCGTTTTAAGAACAGATAAGTGCTTTTAAATAAATCATCTTAAATTTGAATTTAGTAAAACTATGTGAATTAGAATGTGCTACTACCTTATCTAAAACTTGGTTTAAACATAATTTGTTAGTGATTAGTGATTTTCTATATTTTCATCACTAATCTAAAGTCAAGTATAGTAAGTTTTAAATATAGTGGTGCCCAACTTCTTTTTCAAAGTTATTCGAGTTATTTAATAGCCTAACCCACCCAAAATCAATTGAGCTTAAACACATTATAACAAATAGATAAAATATCAAGTATCACTTTACAACCCAAAGTATTCAGGTCGTTCGGGTCGAAGTAACGGTGTTGGCAACCTAAATTAAAGTAATTTTAAGGTTCTACCGCCATAATCATTCGCTAACTCCTACTTATTCCACATCTAGATGGTTAGTGGTGGCAGTCCAAGACGTAACTGAAGAACTCATGATCTCACTGCTAGTTTTGTCTACGTCTCAACCGCAATTCGGGTGCCCGCGGAGTTGCCAAATGCCAATACGTCAATTTGTAAGTTAAATTTGTTATTTACTTCGGCTGTGATGTTTCTGATTGTACCATAGAAAAATATATTGTACAATCGGTTATAGACCATTTCATGTGGTACGAAATATATGGTGGCAATACAAAAGATACTTTTACCAATATTTGTGAACATATTTCAGAAAAATATGCATTTTAATTAATTGTTGTGTTTATTAAAAAAATCAATACGTACTTAGGTTTATTTGGTATAAGTAGCAATATTAAGCTGAGAAGCAAGAATGCCTATTCTTTGATATGTGTCAGTTGGCCGGGAAGAGGACTTCACTTACGTTCAGCTTGAAATTATATTTGCATTCATCACAAACAAATTCCATATTGAATTTTTTGTATTTCACTTTTATCACATGAAGTATGTTCAAATACTAAGTTTAACAAAACATAACCAAACACATTTAATTTATAAATTGACGTATTGGCATTTGGCAACACCGTGGGCACCCAAGTTGCGGTTGGGACGTAGACTCTAGTCTCACTGCTTAGCTGTTGAAAGAACCTGTGTGTAAATAATTAATAAAATATAGAGTGGTGTTCTTCATGTAAAAATAAACAGTGTTAAATGCAGATGGGCTTATTTCTTTCTATCATCGATCGTTAACCTTAAAAACATGGAATTACAGTCCGCTTCAGAATCATAGCATAGTGGAGTCTGAAAAAGGTAAGATCCCTAAAAGCCTCATAACAACCTGGATGTGCACTAACATCCACAGCACACCCCACCTACGGCTCTATACTGGTATAAAGTATGGCCTGACAAAAGGGCAGGGAAGCAAAAATCCCCGGGGATCGGGCCCAGGGGGGACAGCTTTAAAAAAATAGTTTATCATATATGTGGGGGCGGGCCCTTGTCAGTATTTTGCCCCGGGGCCCCACCATGGCTCTCGGCGGCCCTGTATACAGTCGTTGGATTAAGATGGTCCTATGTTCTATTAGCAAGATGATTGAATTTTCAGAAGGCATCAATAACATTGTAGCTTACACAAATTGATAAAGAGTGTTATTTTAAATTAAACCTCTATTAATTATCAAAGTAGGTATTAGTCATATTTTTTAAATATTCAATAGAAAATTAGTTACAAAATGCTTAAGCAAAATGTTGAGTTCAGATGTCTTAGAATTTAAAATTTCGTATGACGTGTATACCAATATGTGAGAAAACCAGAGAATGGCAATTTTGTTGCAAATATCTACTTTTATTTTTCTTTTAATCTCATCTGGGGAGACAATTAGGTGTTTTGCACTGACTATCGCCCTAGACCAAATATCAGAGACTATTTCTCTACAGAAGTAGTCAATATTGGGTCTAGTGAAATAGTTGTCCTAAATATAACACGACCTTGATTAATATACTGCTATTTTTATTGTTGCTAAATTTCTCGAATATAATCAATTGATTATTAATGTCATGAATTCCTAAGTCGACCCTGTATACGCACGCAATCAACTCGTGACCGAAGCAACGCTGACGTGTGGAAACAGCCGGACCGCTCTCGAATGTCTGCCGCTGATTCACTCGAAACATCTGGAATGGCGGGGGAGTGCCGTTTAGTCATCTTCGCGAAGTCTCTAGCATTTTCCAGTAGCGGAGTTAGACTAATATAAATAGACGACGTATCAGCGCCGAGTTTAGTTTAATATAGAACGTTGTATTGAAAAGTAAAAGTGTAAGAAATAAATTAGAATTGTTAGTTACTGTTCAAATATAAATTAAATAGTATGTCTGAAATAAATTGTTAATAGTGTGTTTTTAAATAAATAAACTTTAAATAAATTAGACTTTCGTTACATAAATGCCAAAAATTATGTCTCATCAAATTGATATTAAAATATTCTCAAAGTTTAGGTTCAACAAAAATAGCCGACTATTATCAAAGTCTTGGTATATTACCCTTGACTATTTCACTAGACCAAATACTTCACCGACTATTTCTTTAGAGAAATAGACAATTTTTTTTCAGCTATGTTAGAAGTTAGAAGTCCTTGGCGCAGGGCAAACTTTAGTTTTTCAACTCAACGTTTACTACATAGAATCATCAGCGTTCTATTTGTAGTTAGTTCCCTATTCATATACCTTAATCTTAAATGTACCAATCCAATTTTCACGGTTCATCAAGCCATTGACGAACAATAGAGGTTTTAGCAGACTAGCGATACTACTAATTCTATATTTTTTTCAAATTACTCAGTTTTTTTTTAATTTAAACATTACAAAATGTGTAATAATGCAATTTTTTAAAGAAATTAATTTAAAATAGAGCTAAAAATAAGATATTACTTATAAGATATAATAAGTCTTAAATATTACCAAAACTGAATTCTTCTTTTAATTTGTATGATTTATTTATATAGTGTCCTTTATTTGTGATTTATTGTTGATTCCATTCTTTTATCGTTTTATAAAAGAATGGTTTATTTCTATTTAATTTTGTAAAGTAAAAACAATTTTATCTGAAATATTTGACTTTGTTGATAGGACCCCCCTTGACAAATTTTTGGCTACGTCACTGGTTGTAATTATTTGTAATTATTCTATTGGCTACTTATGAGCGCCAATAATAAACAATAATAGTATTTTAATCCCAATTTACTTTTAAATGTCTAAATAAACGAATAAATGCCAAAATGGATGTTCTCTTAGAAAACTAAATACTTTTATTGACTGTTTTCACATAAATAGCATTAAAAGCAGGTGTAATTGTGAAATTATTTTTTTATTACGATAAAAACATATTTTGTAAACTAAAACTATAAAATAAATGCCATACACGTTCTCCCAGACTTTAGTGACATTTCTGGACGAAGATAGGTGAGCGACATAAACTGCGTTAACCTGCAATACAAATTAATAAATGTATTTGACTTTAAAAGAGATGTTTGCATTATATTTAGTTCATTACATATGTCTACTGTGATACAGAGCATTAAAACAATCATAATATAAAATAATTGCAAATTCTTTAATAGCTAATATATATCTACTGAAAGCAATAAAAAAACTTTAAATATACGAGGTATTTGGTATTTGAATTTGGTATTTGATTTAAAATTGTGCATCTTAAAAAGAAACCTTTTGTATTTTTGACAACTTTTGTTCTTTATTGTTCTTGCTCTACTAGTATTTAGATTAGACACCCTGTATTATAGCAATCTTCCTTACTTGACTTAGCACTATTCTGAATCGGATAAATTAGTTAGACTTGAAAGGCTATCTTCATTAATCAAAATTACAAGTGGTTCTACTTGAACTCCCACATTTTTACTTCAACTTTTTGGCGAACATGGTCGATACACTATTTCCATTTTTCTGGAGAAATTAATAATATTACTTCTTCAAAAAGAATTTTAATGTTTCCAGATTTAAATGTTGAGTTTTTATCTGCTACGTATTGTTTAACGTCAACCTAGATTAATTCAATATTATGTTGTTTTGCTGCTTAGCCATTTCATCTATTACATACCTATCATAATGTTTATGTTGCTTACCAAGTTTTAGAAGTTGGATCTTAAGCATTTGGTAGTCGAATTCAATTTTTTTCCCTTATAGCCATTTTTAAATATCACCTTTTTTAGACGTCGTTGTAGGTATTTTTTCCAGCTTTCTCGAATAATAATGCAGTTATCTTCTAATTTTGGTAGGGTGTTTGAAAACCACTCTTTGAACGATTCTCCACACGTTTCTTCATGGTAGTCACCGGATTTTTCAACTTAAATACATAAAGTACATTAGAGACAAAGCCTTCTTCACTTCCAATATGGCATATAATGAGCTGTTTTTTCGCACATACCTGATGGGTTTTTAAAACCAGTTAAAAGTTCATCCAAAAAGGCTTGTCTGGATGATAAAACCGACATATCGATACATACTTTTGATTTGGTGTCGCCTGCGTTAATCCAAGTCTCATCAAGATAATATATTTTTTGCTTTTCTTCTCTGTACCGTTTTATTTTTTGTGGCGTAGGACGAAACAATTTCATTTTGTCTAAAAGCAAACTATTTTTTCCTCGAGTTTTAAATTTAAAATTAAGGGTTTTGAAAAGCTTGTAAAATGTAGCTCGCTTAAAAGTAGACAAATATGGATCATCGTTGACTTCTTATAAAACCTTATCGATTGTTGGAAGTTAATTTCTAAAGAAGAATTGATGTACTTTGCGCCTTATTGCATTTTTATCAAAATCATCCACAGAGCCACTAATTTGTTTATAACGTAGCTTTCTTTTTGGTTCAGAAAATTTATGAATCTGCCTATACTTCTTCATAACATTAAAAACGGTTTTAGCGCACATCCCTGTTTTATCAGCAACTCTCCTTTCAACATCATGTACCAACATATCAGGGTTCTATAAAATGTAATGCTTATAAATATTAAGAACCATTTCTTTAGTACGGATGACCAAATGTCCCTTTTTCGGTAGCTTTTTAGAAGGAGTAAAAACATGTTTCTGGACTTCATCTGCTGTATCTGTGGAGGACATTCAAAATGTCCAAACTAACCAACACGGTGAATGCTACCAAAACGCCGTTTATAATTATCCAAATTGAACTGAATTCGACCCTGACAAAAAATATTTGCGCGTCGTCTAAATGACTAACGACCGATTAACCAATAGAAGCGCAAAGAAAATACCACGTGAGCTGTTGCTGGATGGGAGAGATTGTTTTGACGCGGCGTAAATGAAATCTGAATAGACTTTATATATAGATAGAGAAAGAGAGAAGAAGGGTAGTCCTGACTGGAATACGTTGAGAAAAAATTATGTTTCTTGAGGAATGCAGTAAAAAAAAATTTAAGCCAAAATTTTTAGTAACTCTTTAATCATCGTCAAAACCATAAAAACCAACGTTTTTATCATTACTATCAGATTATTTCGGTTTTAACACAGTTGTAGGAGAATTTTGAAATGAAATATTTGATGTCGGTATTAAAGATGAAATAATTTATCAATGTTTTATACATTAGTGTTGTGATGTCAACTATATTGTGCACTTATAACTTCAAATTTTAACCTCACAACCAATAAGTAATTTTAATTATAATTTTAAGACTAAGGGCCAATCTCTTTACCTCTGAGTACAGTTGAAAGTAACTACTTACTGATTAAACTATAGGGCTATTTGTTAATCTGTCAAGTAAACCTACATGTAACTTTACTCAAAGGTGAAAAGATCGACCCTTAATATTGTAAATATTTAAGTTTCTTGATAATGGAAATAAACATTTCCGAAAGCTTGACGATAATCAGAGAGTTTTACTAAAAATTTTGGCCTAAAACAATGTTTTTACTGCATTCCCCAAGAAATACAATTTTTTTCATAACGTTTACCATCTGTTTTGTAGAATAAAATACTGCTGAAATCAAAAACATTTAATATACACTCAACAAACTATCCAACCTGTGGAGTGAATCTATATATAAAAAATTACAACAAAAATAAATTCATTTTTTGTTTTATGTTGTATCCGTGTTGTTTATGGTTGCCAATGAAGACAATATGGTTGTAATAAATATAGACGGAGTTGTTGATAGCGTTGTGACTTCCCATGTATTATTTTGAGGTAAATATGACTTGATGGTATCAACTCGATCGTATCTACAGTATTCGTGCACTTTAATTGGTTTTATTAGTTTTTCTATGCAGTACGCTCCTAGTGAACCTGTAGCTAAACCCCACATGTAGAAGAGGGTCATCATGTTACCTAAAAAATAGTTTCATGAAAAAAATCTATAAAATACTCAACGTTATAATGAGTGGACCCCTAAAGAGCTTGTGCGAGAAGGAACGGTTGTTATTAATATTTGCCTGGCGAACCATTTCATTATTTAGTCATGCTCTAATCCTCCAAGTCCCTCTCTGTCTTATTTGGTCTTTGAGACTCAGCTTATCCGATTATTATACATATTTAAACTATGGCGAAGGCGCTTTCGAGTACATTCCAGATTGAACTTGATAATGTTACTAGTTTTGGTGAAGAACATTCTAGAACCTTCACTATAATTTTAAATGTGTATATAAATATTGGTTGAGGAACACGGAGCAGTCAGTCATATACAAACAGTTGTGAACATAAAAAGTGAACAGTTTAAAGACATTCGAAATATACAGGGTGTTTCAAAAAGGTATATCATAAATTATACCACGTATTCTTGGGTCAAAAATAGAATGATTAAACCGTACTTACCTATATACAAAAGTGCACCCAAAAATAGTTACAGGGTGTATAAGATAAAAATTTAAATGAATTTTTTTAACATTGCTCTTAAACCGTTTGACATATTTTCATGAAATTTTATATGACGTGTTGGAATACCATGACTAACAAAATCGAAGTAGAGGCAAAATATTTTTTTTTATTTTTGTAGGATTTTGGAGGGTGTCACCGCCCCTTTCTCTATTCAACTTTTTTGTAATATAAAATGTTATTAAAAATCGAACGCTACTAAAATGCAACATCTATTTGAAAACTTTTTTGTCTCTTAGTATTTGTTTGTAAAATGTTTGGTTTAGACGATACAGCCACTTAAAATGACATATTTAATGTAAATTATACGTATGCAAAAATATCAAAATTCGATTTTCATTGTTAAAACTATGTAGTACCTAAGTGTATACAGGAGGAGAATGTAATTTTGAACACCTGGTAAATTAAATGTTTTTATTTTGATGAAATTAGTTTGTAATTTAAAAATAAACTTGATTTTGATATTTTTCATACGTAGAATTTCCATTGAATATTTTTAAGTTGTCATTTCAAATGGCTGTATCGTCTAAACTAAACTTTTTACAAACAAATACTAAGAGACAAAAAAGTTTCCAAATGGATGTTGGATTCCAGTGGCGTTTCATTTGTAATTTAATTTTATACTACAAAAAAGTTGAATAGAGAAAGGGGCGGTGACACCCTCCAAAATCCTACAAAAATAAAAAAAAAATATTTTGCCTCTACTTCGATTTTGTTAGTCATGGTATTCCAACACGTCATATAAAATTTCATGAAAAAATGTCAAACGGTTTAAGAGCAATGTTAAAAAAATTCATTTAAATTTTTATCTTATATATATAACTATTTTTGGGTGCACTTTTGTATATAGGTAAGTACGGTTTAATCGTTCTATTTTTGACCTAAGAATACGTGGTATAATTTATGACATACCTTTTTGAAACACCCTGTATAAATAAGAATAGTATTGTTTTAAAATAAATACGTGTTCAAATAAATTATTAACAAATAAACTGTTGTTTAAAATAAACAAACGAAACAAGATGATTGACGGCGCCATTTGACTTACAAGCGAGGAAAACCCCTGCAACTTTCGTCGAAACGGCAAACCATTGGGATGCTTTACCAACAGAAAAGACACAAATCGAATCCCAAACAAACCATACTCTGGAATCCGAACTAACATATCGCTTCTCACTAAAAGCCAGTAATTAAATGCAATAACACTTGACATACTGGGCTACCCACACTATGAAATGATATTGATAAGTCAGTTTGTATATCACAAGGATGGCTAGTTTTTAATATAAATAATCATCAACAAACTTTTAACAGAAGTTCGGCCTTGTCATAATTTTATTTCAGATATTTATTAGGAAACTTATGTTTATGTTTATATTTGTTTATGTTCAAATCCTTAATTTTATTTGGAGTTGCTTTCCGGGACCCATTTTCAATAACAATTTTCGTTAGAAACTGTCACAAAGATACCGTCACACTTTCAACAACTTAAAACGTCAAACCACAAAATACATTTTTCGCCTACCATATGTGAAAATGAATCATATCAACCCTAAAAATATGACCGAAAGTAACGTATATCGTCCTATGGGCTGCTAAACTCGTAACAGCCCGATTTTGTAGTTTTTTACTAGATATCTAGATACCTTTGACTGTCACTTGCGTACTTTGACGTTTCACATAAATTTTGATTAAACGTCAGTGTAAGTCTATTAGTGAACATGAAATAATCTAGATAATTTCAATGCTCCATCAACTTCATCCATAGAAATAAGTCACCATACTGCTAGCACTTCAACACCTACCAAATGCTTATAAATTCTGGTATAACTATCCATAATTGTGCTCAAGAGATAATTAATATTAATTACTACAATAAATAAATTCGTACATTTTACTAAGTACTTAAGTTTGTTGTATTCGTAAAATTAAAGATTTTCGTTATATTTTCCTTTTCTTTGTTTTTTTTTTTGTAGGCGAAAAACAATTGTGTCACACATGCAGAAAACGCTTTAGCAGCCCTTAGCTATCAGCTGCCCTCGCTTCGCTTCGCTTCGCTCGCTCATGCCGCTAATAGCCGTGGGCTGCTAAAGCTCATTTTCTGCCCTTGTGACACAATATACTATAGCGTTTCATTATGTGCGTCAAACACGTAAAAAATTCTAAAAGCCAAAAATTCCAAAGCCTGATAATTCCGGAGGATATTGTTCAAACATGTAAATGGTCATTTATCTTTCGATTAGATACCGTTTAAAAAAAAATTAAGATCATGATGAGTCATGCTCTCAAATAGTAGAAATATCAACAACTATTATATTTAAGTAATTTTTAAAAATAGATGTTCTTGAACCTTAATTTTCCTAATATACAGGGTGTTTCATTATATATGCGCAGGACTTCAGGACGTGATAGCTCGTTTAAAAATATGAAAAAACGTTTCTATTAACTTACCCTCTAAAATGCACCATTTTCGAGATATAGGGTGTTGAAATTAAAAAAAAAAAAAATCTACGCCACTGGAAAAAGTACGGTTTTGAGACGCCCATTTGAATCGCCAATGTTTTCTACACAAAAAAGGTACTCTTGGTCATACGCTCTAAAGTCGAGAAAAATCAAATTTTAATGTTGAAATACCTACCTACCTACTTGATGAAACCAAATTTGATTTTTCTCGAACACGGTCGACTTTAGAGCGTATGACCAAGAGTACCTTTTTTGTGTAGAAAACATTGGCGATTCAAATGGGCGTCTCAAACCCGTACTTTTGCAGTGGCGTAGAATTTTTTTTTTTAATTTCAACACCCTGTATCTCGAAATTGGTGCATTTTAGAGGGTAAGTTAATAGAAACGTTTTTTCATATTTTTGGACGAGCTATCACGTCCTGAAGTCCTGCGCATATATTATGAAACACCCTGTATAACGGAAATAAAATTATAAAAAGGTCGAACATATAATAGTGGTTAGGGCTCGTATTACTACGGCTTTAGAAACAAGCTTATCCATATATTTAATTCTTATTTGGATAATAGTCATCAATTTTATATGATTAGTGGTTTTAGATCTACCTCGATCATAGCTATATCCGGGGTCCCACAAGGGTCAAACTTAAGCCTCTTTTATTCTCACCATTTACTAATGATAAAATTAGACAATTGAACTCCGATGTCTTGAACGTAAAAAACTGCACTTTGTTCCTTCAGCCGTAACAATCAAATGATTTTGAGCGTTTATAAAATTAATGAATTAATTAAAATTAATCATGTACTGTTATACACCGAAATACTTCACAAACTGATGTACTGGCCAAGTGATTAACTCAGATTCCATTAATTGTTCTGTAATATTCGTACAAGAAATAACGCTGCTTTATAGATAAGAAGAAATGGAACAAACCTATTAGATAATATTAGCAAATTATGCGATTTGATTCAGAATAGTGTTGAACGCATTATTCAAATTACTTAAACTTATTTTAGATCATGATTAACCAACTCATAATTAAAAAGAAGAAGAAGAAGAAGAAGAAGAAGAAGAAGAAGAGGAAGAAGAAGAAGAAGAAGAAGAAGAAGAAGAAGAAGAAGAAGAAGAAGAAGAAGAAGAAGAAGAAGAAGAAGAAGAAGAAGAAGAAGAAGAAGAAGAAGAAGAAGTAGAAGAAGAAGAAGAAGAAGAAGAAGAAGAGAAGAAGAAGAAGAAGAAAAAGAAGAAGAAGAAGAAGAATAAGAAGAAATATTATGCAATTTATCATAAGTGCAGTTAGATACATTATTTTATTGGACTTTTCAACGAAGTTGCCACCAATACCAATTCTCTGAAGAAGAGACGTGGCCACGGCTATTCTATAACAGCCGATGTTAGACTTTCAAACAGGGGTGCATATTGGGTTCTTGTGAAGTTTGCAGTAAAAAAAGTGTTCATTCTAGACGTCACAAAAAATGTTCTATTTGTAAAGTATCACTGTGTTGTAATGCTACCAAGAATTCCTCGAATTTCACCAAGTACCTCAATAGTGTGATGTTTGTATAGTAATCTACCTATTTTTCAATAAATAACTATTGCAAGTTAGTTTCAATGTATTTAATAATTTATAGGACCCTTTTCAAATACTATCGAAATTTCTTATTTTACCATTTAAATATACTTTCAGACGCTTCACGGTACTTCAGAGTACCATCTTAAATTTATGTAGAAAATATTTAACAAAAATCTGAAATAATTTGATTATGTCAATTTTGACATTTCAATCGACTTTGGCAAAAAACTTAAATAATCATATTTTTGATTGGTCAGGCAACAAAGGGTTAAAGTCCACGGTTCGTAGACACCACGGTGGCCTCTTCATCCGTTGGAAGGCTATGACGTCACGGGATAAAAAATCGAGTTGACAGAAAATATTCTGCTACGGTTCCTAAATTAGTTTTTTTAAAAATCTAATATTTTATTAATATTTAGTGGTGTTTATTTTTTTATTTTTGGACTATTCACCTGCGTTGAAGTTTTTATAAAAATCGGTAATTTGATTTTTTGAAAGACAAGCTACAAAACGGCATGGAAAAATCATCTAATGATTTCCATCAAATTTCAAATGAATGACTTTTTATTTGAATTATAAAGAGAAATATTATTGTTTGAATGGTTTATTTTAAACATTTTGGATTAGAGTACGGCCTCTTTGCTAAATTCGGATCACACTTTGTTTATATCCCGAACTATTTTGAAATTTTGGCAAGCCTGGAGCGAGCCGTAGTTTTGCTGTTGGCAAACAGTTTTTACTATTTACACACACAAATTGTTAGAATAATTAAAGGAACTGAGTCTAAACTGAAATTAATGACTGATGGAAAAATTTTAGAGTAATTATTCTGCAAATATCATTCACTATTTTTAAATTAATTGCAGCTTTGTCCAAACTACATTTAAAAGCAGATGAGATGGTTTCTTACAAACATTAAAAACAACCAATAGCAAAAAATCAAAGGACTTTGCTAAAAGAACATACTTTTTGAAAAAAGGGTTTGCTACAGGAAGTTTTTAGTAAAAAGTGTATAGTTACAAATCATTTTAAAGAAGAAAACAAGGGCCTTTTAGAGAAGAAGTTTGTAAAGCATTCACCAGAAAATATTTTAAATACTTTAAAGTATCCCTTGCTGGGAATTTCAACTTTACAAAAGTGCGCTGCTAAAATAAATCTGAGATATGATCTTGTATGATTTATTTAAGTAGGTACTCCAAGTATATGTAATGAATATCTCTGTGTATTGTATCTATATAAACACAGTAGATAAAACTTTTTCTCTAATTTGGTATCTATATTTATAGATTATTATAATAAAACTGGGTTTTTTTTTTAGTAAATTATACTGTTCATACATCCTAGAAACTGACAAAATATATTTTTTATTTCTGATATTAAATATACATTTTGTTTCTTCTGAAGTCCAACGGGTCCTTGTTTTCTTCCATAAAATTATTTGTAACTAGTCTTTACTAAAAATTTCCTGTAGAAAACCCTTTTTTTCAATAATGTAGGTTCTTTTAGTAAAGCCCTTTGACTTTTCTTGCTTTTTGTAGTGTTTAATGCTTGTAAGAAACCATCTCATCTGCTTTTAAATATAGGGTGGACAAAGCTGCAATTAATTTAATAATAGTGATTGGTATTTTCAGAATAGCCTTTAATTTCAGTTTAGGCTAGGTCCCTTTATTACTTCTAACGAATTTGGTCTGTAAAAATTAAATTTTTTTTGGCACTTTTGGCAGGCAACAGCAACACTACGGCTAGCTACAGGCTTGCCAAAATTTCAAAATATTTTGAGATATAAACAAAGTGTGATCCGAATTCAGCTCGGAGGCCATACTCTAATCCAAAATGTTTAAAATAAACCATTCACACAATAATATTTCTCTTTATACTTCAAATAAAAAGTAATTCATTTAAAATTTGATGGAAATCATTACATGATTTTTCATTGCTGTTTTGTAACTTGTCATTCAAAAAGTCAAACTACCAATATTATAAAAACTCTAACACCAGAACAAAGTTCAAAAATAAAAATAATAACAACACTAAATAACAATAAAATATTAGATTTTTAAAAAACTAATGTACGACACGAAGTAAAATATTGTTTATCAACTCACTTTTTTATTCCGTGACGTCACTGAATCCTTAGCAACCGTGATGAGGCCACCGTGTTGTCTACAAACCGTGGTTAAAGTTAATCATCGCATGCGCAGTAGTTAAAAAATGTTCGCGGAACGAAAAGAACTGAATTATTGGTTCTATCCTGCGTTCGCGGTAAAATTTATATTGGTCTAGAATCGCTTGTATTATAACTGGTACACCGAGATATAATAGGGATTGCACGCGCTGTAAAAATTCACAATTGATATAAAATCGGGCATGCGCTCAAAGTATAAATTAGTAATTTTGAATCAGTTCAGGATTGTTACCACGAACGAAGCTGCTATTAGCGCCACTATTATTTTTTGACATCTGAGAATGCGCAGATCGTTAGTTCAAAAACTGACTTTATTAAAGGTAGTGCCTGACCTTAATTGTGAATGTTTAACGGCAGCAAATAGTGGCGACTTTATTAGCTTTCGGCTGCGCTCGCCAACATTTGTATCAGTTCAAAGTTTCTGCGTACCATTAGATCCTATTTATTACATCCCTCTCACTTATATTTCAGATAAATTTATTTTCTAGAGTATGCTTAGATGTTATGTTATGTTGGAAATGGGGTGTTAATACACTGCGACCTAAAAGATCTATTGTGTCCCCTTCTGTCGCTAATACAGCAACGAAATGTCTCTCTATAACGATCCTTCCAATCCTATCTTCTCAAGGAAGTGTAGGATTTAGAGTGGCTTCAAGTTAGATAACTTTCTCTCTATTTGATATGCTCCTAGGTATAGTGCCTTGGATTCTGGAGTGCTACATATTCAGTTAGAATGTGAATGGAGGTTTCGTCGTTCTCCTCATAGAATCTGCACTCACTATCTTCTACTACTCTCAGTTTACTAAGGTGTCCTTTTAGTCAGCAATGCCTAGTAAGGATCTCTGTAGTATCTTACCTCCTTCAGCCTCAAGAGATTGTTCCAGTTATCCATTTTTTCATTCTATATCTCTCCCTCCTATTTTGACAATGGTACTAGTGTTGTTTGGGTGGCCAACTCTCGACACCATTTCTGCTCTGTTTTAATCGTCTTTGAACCATATCACACAGAATGTTTTTCAAACTTGCTTCTCGCAAGGTATAGGGGTAACACTCATTATGCACACTATATGAACCCCTTTATACTTACCAGCAAGTTCCCGGTAGCACCTTGAAACTTTTGCAGGGGCCTGAATCATCGGTATACTACCCATAAGCCCATTGCTCAGTCCCAATATGATGGAATAAGTGAACGATAACAGATCGTTACTAGACAGTCCTCTATGCCAGAAGGGCATAACGCACAATACCATCAGAGGAATCAGAATCAGTCTTGCAATTGAGAGTTTTAGGAGTCTCGAACCCGTCCAATAGAAAGTAGAAGTAACTATTTTTCCTGAAATTAAAAATCAATGTAACATTTCTAATTTAATTTGATGCAATCCATATTTTATTTATTTAAACTTAAAACAATGTGATATTTCAACACAAAGAGTTACTAGTAACTAATGAGGCTGATGTAAATCTGAAATAAATAAAATTAAACACAAAATGATAAACAAGTAGAAAAAGTAAGTAATTCTAATAGTTAAACTAGGTAAACTTAACTAAGGATCCAGAAGAAACTAATCTAATAGTACAAAACAAATAGTTTTTTCCGAAAAAAAACTGTCCACTCAATTGTAATTCTTGAATAATTAGGTGACCATAAAAGAAGCTTGAAAGCAAATCCAAATGTTCGTAATCCCTTTGGCATTTTATTTCAGGTTATATTTTAGAAGAAAATGTTTCATACAAAAGTTGTAATTAATAATATTTTCTACAATTTATCTTATTGAGTCACTATTAGTCTAAAAGTTAGTGAAAAGCACAAAATATTTCAGTAAACCTTTAATAGACCGTCAGATAGTGATATGTTTAGGTGCCCCATTCTCGCATACAAGCCTCGAACAGGGTTGAAAAGTACATCGATTTTAAGTAGAATAAAAGGAAATTTACGAGTGGTTCCTGGGGATAACACATGGAAAATTTGATTTTCCCTAACAAAAATAAAAGGTTATTTGTTGCTTATTTGTTGCTTCGGAATACCAAAGGCTCTAATGTGGCAAGTAGCTAAAGGGTTGAAATAAGGGCGTAATCTTCTAAGGAAAAATCGCGATTTTACCCGAGTTTTCCACACAAGCCCATCGAATGTATGAAAACGTACATCGTCTATAATTTTGTCTAAAAACTCTCTTATACCTACTGTTCGTAAGTTGGGGAACATACCGTCGTTGTTATGACTATTGGTCGTATCTCATTTTTGAGGTCCCCTGAATCCGTTTTCACTATTTTCGCGATGATGTCTGTGTGTGTGTGTGTGTGTGTGTGTGTGTGTGTGTGTGTGTGTGTGTGTGTGTGTGTGTGTGTGTGTGTGTGTGTGTGTGTGTGTGTGTGTGTGTGTGTGTGTGTGTGTGTGTGTGTGTGTGTGTGTGTGTGTGTGTGTGTGTGTGTGTGTGTGTGTGTGTGTGTGTGTGTGTGTGTGTGTGTGTGTGTGTGTGTGTGTGTGTGTGTGTGTGTGTGTGTGTGTGTGTGTGTGTGTGTGTGTGTGTGTGTGTGTGTGTGTGTGTGTGTGTGTGTGTGTGTGTGTGTGTGTGTGTGTGTGTGTGTGTGTGTGTGTGTGTGTGTGTGTGTGTGTGTGTGTGTGTGTGTGTGTGTGTGTGTGTGTGTGTGTGTGTGTGTGTGTGTGTGTGTGTGTGTGTGTGTGTGTGTGTGTGTGTGTGTGTGTGTGTGTGTGTGTGTGTGTGTGTGTGTGTGTGTGTGTGTGTGTGTGTGTGTGTGTGTGTGTGTGTGTGTGTGTGTGTGTGTGTGTGTGTGTGTGTGTGTGTGTGTGTGTGTGTGTGTGTGTGTGTGTGTGTGTGTGTGTGTGTGTGTGTGTGTGTGTGTGTGTGTTCCATCGTCTAATGAACTTATTAGATTTTGGGCAGAGTCGGAACACCTGGGGGGGTACTTTATTGGTGATCATTTTTATATTTTATGGAATATATATGTTATTTACGTTTGGAGAAGAAAATTATTCAAATAAAAGTTACTTCTAATATAATTATCTATAATTTTTGTTTTTTACAAAATTTTCCTAAAATGGTCCGTATTCGAGAAATTTGACAAAATGTAAAAAAAATAATTTTTTATAAAAATTGTTCAAATAAAAGTTGTTTATAATATAATTCTGTATAATTTTTATTCTATACATAATTTCTCTATTCGAGATATTTGAGAAAATGTGTAAATTTAGAATTTTGAAGAAAACTCAAAAACGGATAAAGAAAAAAACATTAAATTTTAAACTTAAGGTTTATTTCGGCCTGACGTGAAAAGATTAGATTTTGGACAAAGTCGGAACATGTGGGGGGGTACTTTATGGGGGGCCCTTTTTATATTTTATGGAATATATCTGTTATTTATGTTTGGAGAAAAAAAATTGTTCAAATAAAAGTTATCTATAATTTTTGCTTTATGTCAAAATTTCCTGAAATGGTCCGTATTCGAGAAATTTGACAAAATGTGCAAAATTATGATTTTTATGAAAATTGTTGAACTAAAAGTTGTTTGCGATATCGATCTCTATAATTTTTGTTTATACATGATTTTTCTAAAATGGACCGTAATGGAAAAGTGCTAAATTTAAATTTTTCAGTATTTTCGTTTTCAATGAATATCTATAGAAAAATGTTTCGAGGTAGATGTATGTGGACAATGTATATATTTAGTTTATTCTCTAAACATTTATAGAGATGATGCAATAGGTTGTACAAAATAACCGGAAAAAGCCTATAATAACTAGATAGGAAAGTCATGTGTTGGACACATCAGATTTTTTTTTCAAAATTGAGTTAGTTTTCTTAATAGATAACTAAAACTGCATACTTTGTATGCTGGTAACATTATTTGTAATAATAAATTACTGATGGAATAAAACATAAATGTTGGAATATCGTATTTAATATTATAACATTTGATATTTTAGCTATAAGTCGTATCTCACTTTTTTCAAAATTATGTTAGTTTGCTTATTCTTATTAGATACACTGCATGCAAAAATATATAAAGATATAAAATTTCATATTAAGAGGTTCCCTAGAAAAGAATCCCACTTATTGCAGAAAATCTTCTAAACGAGATTACCTACATGGAGATTTATCATTGTCTAACATGTACGATATATACAAGAACGAGATAAAAGGACGAGAAGTTGCTAGCTATAGTACCTACTATAAGAGTTTTAAATCATTTAATTTGTCTTAAAGACCAGTGCGATTCTGAGTGGAGTGAACTATTAAAATCTGTACCAACCAGATGGCTTAGTCTGGCACCGGCAGCGGAAAGACTTTTAAAGAAATTTCAACCGGTGAAATCGTATTTTCTATCCATGGCGTCTCCACCAGCCATTTTAGAAAATTTCTTTGAGGATGAATTTGCTGAGGCGTATTTAGGTAAAGAATTCTTCTGAATTTTTCTGACACTTTATATTGGCTAAATAAATTTATAAATTCATTTTCTTTTAGGATTCTTAGTAAATGTCGGGACCACAATGCAAACCACCATTCAAAAATTACAATCAGATAAAGTTTTAATACTAGAACTTCATGAGACAATGATATTATTAAAAAGAAGTCTACAAACTAAATTCGATCAAGAATTTTATGGAGCCATAGCAAGAAATATAATACTAAGTTCAGATGATAGTTATAAAATTATACAGTTTAAGAAACAGGAAAATGCTTTCTTGGAAAGAACCATATCTTATTTGGAAAAATGGTAACTAACAGTTACATTTCTGGTGCCTATACCTACATATGAATTATTTACCTAGTGATATATTTCTTTTCCTAATTTTAGGTACCAATACAACAACAACAGGCTTGAAAATCTATATTGCATGATTTTGAAGAAATCACAAACATTGTCATTGGAAAATTTTATAAAAATTGCTTCAGATTTTAAAATTGACATAGATGAAGACATGCTCTTTAAAGAGTTTGTCAAACTTCAATATTTCATTCAAAATGATTTAAATGAAGAAGAAGATATTGATCAAAGATGGGTGGCATTTTTTAAAAATAATTCTCCAGCAAACAATTTTGAAAGACTATGTAATACAATTTTATCAATTCCACATTCAAATGCGTCTTCTGAAAGAATTTTTAGCCTTATGACTACCGCATGGAGAAAAGAAAAAAATAAATTAGACATTAAGACTTTGGAGGCGGAGCTTATGATTAAAACTAATTTTAAAATGAGTTGCAAAGATTTTATATTATTTTTGAAAACCGGGAACGCAGATGATATCTTAAGAAAAGTATCATCATGTCAAAAATATGAAAATTTAAATTAAAGTTGCTATTTCTTATTTAAGTTGTTTATGTATAGCATATAAATATTGATGTTTCCTGTTGTGTTATCCTGAAGTGTTTATATACGGAGTCGGCCACTGAACTTCTTCCAATACGCGATTCACAATTGCGTATGAATGCTACACAGAGTAGGCATTGGAGCGAGCGGGAGAAGGAATGATGTCAACGTTGCCATTTATACGAAGCGACCGCGTTGAAACCTTGGCCAGGCCGTATAGGCTGGCATCACTGTAAGTTTCTTTCCTGCTTGCCCTAGTTAGTTTTCACACTTTCACATACACTTGTGTTAAGGGGTATTGGAAGATGTTCTATGGCCACTACCGTATAGGGTTATAATTATGTTTTCTGATGTATTGTTCTTATACAGGGTGTTACTTAATGATATGTTGTGATTCCAAGGGCGCATTGCTGAACCAATTTCAAGTATAAACGTTTATAGAATAATGTTTCTTAAAAGTCTGGTTTTCAAGATACAGGTGTCAAAGTTTAAAAGGAAGAGGTTTTTTATTAATATCTCAAAGATCCATTTTTCTATTTTGTTGAAATTTGGCAATGTTGTTCATTGTGATAAGACGCTAAGTTTACACTAACTAGAAGATAATTATGAGTTTCATTGGCGTCGCGATGAGGAGCAGTCTTATGAATAATATTTACAAAAAAATGTACTACACTGACTTTTCAACTTATATATATATATATATATATATATATATATATATATATATATATATATATATTTATTTCTTTTTTGATTAAGCAGCTAAAAATACAACTTTTTTTTGTCTTACTTCGTTTTTGAGGAAAAAATAAAAACCACTTTTATTAAAATTAACAATAAAATCAAGTTAACTTCGATCGTTAAACTTTTCTACTTGGTTCAAGCACGACCTATCATAAGTATATATAGGGTATAAATAATGTATTTTGTTGTTTCATTGTAAAGCGTTTATTTTGGTATTTTAATAAAGAATATTTTGTTTATTGTCCTCATTTTTAAGTTTTGGATGAATTCCTAACAAAATTAAGTGTGGCTCTAAAAAAATTGTGGCTCTTTTGCTGAAACGACAGTGTCCCGCTTTTTCATTACAAAGATCTGGCAACCCTGGTAATAATGTTGTTTTGGTTCTTATTTTCAATTCTAAATTAGCACAATAGCTATTTATGAAATGCCTTATTTTATGTAAAGAGTAAATATTTGCAAGACGAGCAGAGCTAGGTCCCGAAACATAAACTAGTTACATATAACGACACTTCGTAACGTGTTACATACAATATTTTTTCTAATTTTGACTAAAATTGTGTTTTGGTAAAACATTACTTACATTTAGGCAACCAATGTTACTTTCTTGTATTGTTAGTTGCTTAGGTATCATTTTGTTGACAATTAGAATAAGATGACCATTCGTACTGATTTTACCAGTACAGTACTGTTTTCAGGGAATAAGTCCTGGTTAGTCATTAAATAAAACCAGTAAACGAAAACTTGGCTTTTCTTTCTCAATAATGTGTCGTCAATGTTTCACAACACTGTTTTAAATATAGAAGCACAGGCTATTTCTATGTTGGAAACAAACATCATTTATAAGGTCCTTAAAACTAAAATTGGTGACAGAATAGCAAATTTTTTCTGTCCCTGCAAGTTCGACAAAATTTATAAAAGTTGGACGAATAAGAAGACTTAGTTAAACAAAATATTTTTAAAGAAAAAGTGCTCTAAAAAGTGCTGGAACACACAGGAGGTGTTTTCAGTATCTGGACGAATGGGAAGACCATTTTGAGGGAATCGAGAGATTTATTTGGATTACACTAAACATGAAACCTACATAATCAAATTATTCAAGAATGTAGTGATTATCTACTTCGACATTAACCAGAAATAAAACAGGGAACTCCTAAGCACTTACATTTTACGAACGTGACGAAGAACACCGATAGGACGCGAAGTGAGAGTTCGGGTCGGATCAAGAGTAAAATTGAGAAAATATTTTTTCACCGTTATTGAACAATAATGATTGACTGCTTTTAAAGTGGTCCAGTTACACAAACCAAAAACGCGCTTTTTATTATTGACATTCAAGGGAGACTTTTTTTGAATAAATACGATTCATTTCAACGCCATTTTGAATTTTTTTAAAACTTAATTGTGCTGTTAACTTTGGCTTCTAAAATACTCAGATACCAATTTTAGTCGCAATCTGTTGACTTAAAAATAATTTATTTTTTAAAACTGCTCACCCTGTATATAACTGACCAGACGTATACTTATAAAACTTGAAGTTTTTCTCTAAAGCCGTTTTTGGCCTATCACACCAACAGACAGACAGATAACAAACGACAAACAGACCGACAGAATGAAGAAACATGTTTTTTTGTAATCTAGGGACCCTAAAACGTGAAAAACTGAAATAATCTGGGTAGGTGATTTTTTTACGATTACAATACTTTCCTTTTATCGAGGGAAGTAAAAAAGAATTCTTAATCTAAGTTTTGCAGTCAAAATAACAGTTTCTTTGAGAATGAAATATTGGTTCTTCCATAGTCAATAACGTCGTCATTTTCTATTGTATTTAATAAGTCGTTTTGTATATGTCGTCGGTTTTGGCTGAGAGTACTCCTTAGCCTGTTTTTTAAGTAATTCAGAATAAAAAAACTTCTCCTTCAGGCTACTTCTGAAATTGGAACTCCTTTCGAGGCACAATTCTAGTACATATTTCTGGAAGCACGTTCCATGCGTTGACTATGGCGATGCGCTTAGCAACGAGCCCAAATTATAAATTTACTAGTAATGTAGAGTTCCTTTAATTTCAATTTATGAGGTAACATCAAAAAACTGTTAGCAATGAAAATTTGTACTTAGTACACAAACTTTACATTTTGTCAAGAATTGCGGAAAATATTGAATTAGGTACAAAGTTACAAACTCATTAACTATAAATTTATATTTTGGAAAGAAAATGTCATTAAGTAGAAGGTATTAAGTAAACGTACATAAAGAACACGTATTTTTTATTGCAACACTCTCTGGTCGCCCGTTTTTTTTACTTAATTATTCCTGCAAACCTGGAATAATAAAAAGAGGCAGAAGTCTGTGTCAGACGAACGCGGAGATACCAGATCCCTCATAATATCCTCATAAAGGAAGGAGACATGAAACATTACGTTTTTGTGGGTATGGGTGCTTTCCTCATGTACCTTTGTACCTATATTTATGATTTACAGACTTACACTAATAAGTCGATCAATAAATTAGTTAATATATTCTGACTTTTTCAATTTATTATAAAACAAAAAAGAATAAAACCGCGGTGCATAGGTACCTATTCCCCAGCAAAAAATCTGATGTGTCCAACACATGACTTTCCTATCTAGTTATTACAGGCTTTTTCCGTTTATTGTGTACAATCTATTGCAGCATCTCTATAAATGTTTAGAGGATAAACTAAATATATACATTGTCCACATACATCTACCGCGAAACATTTTTCTATAGATATTCATTGAAAATGAAAATACTGAAAAATTTAAATTTAGCACTTTTCCTACAATTTTTCCATTACGGTCCATTTAAAAAAAATCATGTATGAACAAATATTATAGAGATCGATATCGCAAACAACTTTTATTTCAACAATTTTCATAAAAATCAGAATTTTGCACATTTTGTCAAATTTCTTGAATACGGACCATTTCAGGAAATTTTTACATAAAACAAAAATTATAGATAATAATATTAGAAGTAACTTTTATTGGAACAATTTTCTTCTCCAAACATAAATAACAGATATATTCCATAAAATATAAAAACGGCCTCCCATAAAGTACCCCCCCAGATGTTCCGACTTTGTCCAAAATCTAATCATTTTACGTCAGGCCGACATAAAACTTAAGTTTAAAATTTATTGATTTTTTCTTTATCCGTTTTTGAGTTTTCTTCAAATTTCGAAATTTACACATTTTCTCAAATATCTCTAATACGGTCCATTTTAGAGAAATTATGTATAGGACAAAAATTATAGAGAATTATATTACAAACAACTTTTGTTTGAACAATTTTTATAAAAAAAAAATATTTTTTTACATTTTGTCAAATTTCTCGAATACGGACCATTTCAGGAAAATTTTGTAAATAACAAAAATTATAGATAATAAAATAAGAAGTAACTTTTATTTAAAAAAATTTCTTATTCAAACGTAAATAACAGATATATTCCATAAAATATAAAAATTACCACCTATAAAGTACCCCCCCAGATGTTCCGACTCTGCCCAAAATCTAATCAGCTCATTAGACGCTGGAATAAAGCTTAAGTTTGAAATTTGGTGTTTTTCCGTGTATCGGTTCATGAGTTATGCGTTATACAGACACACACACACAAACACACACACAGACACACACACAGACACACACACACACAGACACACACACACACACACACACACACACACACACACACGCACACACACACACACACGCACTCACACACACACACACACACACACACACACACACACACACACACACACACACACACACACACACACACACACACACACACACACACGCGAAAATAGTCAAAACGGATTCAGGGGACCTCAAAACGTAAAAATCCGTCGAAAACTCGAGGTCGAAAAAAATCATGATTCCTATACTTTCCTTATATCTGTATACAGATAGGAAAGTAAAAAGAATTCTGCTATCACAGTGAGATTCGCAAAAGTCATCGGTACGCGGTTCTCGGACATCGATGGATATCTAAAAATAAAATACGAGGGGTATCGGAGAATTAGTCGAAATTTAGAAAAATATAAATTTTTTAAAACTTTAAAAATAAATTTCCCGTAACAAAAAAATTTAAAATATTACGATATTTCGAGTGGCGATTTTATTTTAGGTTGAATCTTAGGAAAGTTAATAAACTACATTTTTTACTTTGCTTTCACTTATTGTGTGCTGGTTTTTCTTCAGAGACAATTCGTCGTTGCTGATGTATTCCCTGGTTTTAGCGTAAATTACCATCGTGCATAATGAACCAATTTGTTATCTACAACTTTTATATGAAACATTTTCAAAAATTTGGATTAGGCTTCTTTTATGGTCACCTTAACGATTCAAAAATAATTATTACATTTAAAATTAATTTGATTAAAAAATTGGCCGAAATAAAGATCATTGAAATAAACTAACTTTTTTTATCTCATATTGCGAATTAATCTTCTTTAATTCAATAAATTTTAATTGTTTTTTTTTTTCAGAGTAGTTAAGTTACCTATAGCATCCGCACAATTAAAGTCGATCATCATCAGCATCGGCATCCAGTATCCCATGTAACAACTTTGTATTTCAGATGCTATACCTGGATAAAGGCACAATGTTGTAAAATACACAAGAAATATCGACACCATATAAGGATAAATCTTTCTGGTTACATTCCATCTAGCTCTTAAACCATCTAAAAATAAAACCATAAATATTAATTGAGTTATTGCTATGGGTCCTTTAAGGAAATTCCCAGTAGGATATTATTGTGAGAAAGACTCAGGATCAAAATTAATGTCAAGTCGCTAACCTATTTCTCAAGTCAATAAAACCAGATCAGACCACGCAGAACGAAACACAGAATTTACGTAGTATACATGGATGTATGTATAAAACAGCTCTAAACATAGTGAACAACTGGTGCAAAAAGGAGCAATGGTCCATTAACGTACAAAAAAGAACAGTTGTATCATTAACAAAAAACGGTTACATACAGGACTAAAACCATTAGTACTAAATAATATGGTTACTCCATTTGTCACAGAAGCCAAACACCTCGGAGTCATATTCGACCCAAGGCCGACGTGGAATTAACATCTTAAGAAGACTCGCATGTTAAGCTACAATATGGTTATACACAAGGGTGTTAAGACCCATGATTACCTATGGAGAAGTGGCGTGGATAACCAAAACTACTCAGGCAAATGCAATAGACCTGTCTGAGTACCACTAGAGCCATGCGTACTACGCCTACTATTAAACCTCACGCCACTGCACACCTCACACACAAGGAGAAACCAGGTCCATTATTCACAGGATAATGCAGGGACAAAAACCAATAATCCAACTACATAGCGCTGCGTATGCTCAGGCTATATCATTAAGTAAAAAAGAAGATTTTAGGAATGCCTACTTTTATAGCCATAACCACATACAAATTTGAAAGTAATTTTCAAATTCAAATAACAGCCTGAGAATCCTGGAAACAGCGACCTCCCATACAGGCTAAACTCGTCTAGTATACAGACGGTTCAAAAACCAAGAAAGACGCCGGTGCTGGAATCTATGTACTCAAGTCGAAAACAAGTCTAGGAGATTATGCAACAATGTTCCAGGCTGAACTAATAGCCATACAACACTGTGCAAGAGAAATAATAAAGAAATAATAAATCAGCAAGTACCAGGCTAAACTATTGCCATCGACTCTGACAGCCAAGCAGCTTTAAAGGCAATTCTCTCACCAGAAATCAAATCACGACTGGTAAAAGACTGCCTTGAAGACCTGTCAAAACAGGGGGATCCTAGCCTAGATACCAGGCCACGAGAAATATCGGGCCCCGAACCCTACTATGGAGTTTCTAAGGCATTGTGCACGTCATTCATCAAACAATGGATGCAAAAAGAGTTTTAGGAATGGTCTCAAGACAGGCCAAACAGTTCATCAAGCAACCATTGGCCAAGTTCACGAAAGACCTACTGGATCAACACAGTCAAATCGTTAGAATATCAGCAGGTCTTCTTACCGGACACTGTCGCCTAAAAAGGTACATGAGTGTCATCAATCCAGCAGAAGAAGCAACATTCTGCAGGTTTTTTGAAGTCCTGTGCCATTGTGAAGGTCTGACTAGATTAAGGCTTCTAACAATAGGCGAAAAAAGCCAAACACATGGAACTACATGCGGAAGCCACTGTCAAAGCTAATCTAAATCTTATCTAGGTATATAAAAAACGGCCACTAATGATATTTTTCACTAGATCAGACACAAAATTGCCGTTTTTTATGACTGTTTTTCATTACTCGATTCCAGTTGAAGTAAACAATGTTTATAAAAATATCGTAAAATGCATCCCTTGAAAAAATTAAATATACAAAATTTGTTTAAACCAACCTTTAAATGCTGAAAATCCTATTCTACTATTTTCACTAATGCTTCTTCTTCCTGTAAACAACACATCTTCAACTTTGTATGTTGGCCTGGCTCCCTGATCTGTCGGCTCATATACTGGATTTGCGAAGCTCATGATATTTGAGGATGCAGGAGGACTCGTTTGGATTTTCAATACGCCATATCTTGAGTCACACACCTCTACCTGTAACAGAAAATAACAAATCGATATAATGCGTAATTTGAAAATAAGGACACTGTAATGAAGCTATTTTTCATTACCTTTTAATATTCATTTAATTTTCCATAATTAATGATTTATTTATATTTTTTATAGATCCTACTGCCCTAAGCAATTGCCATTAATTTTTTTTTTAATTTGGTGCCATCGGCATCGACTACTAAGGCCATTAGCCTCGTGTTGTGTGTAGGCTTTGTTACTGTTTCCCAGCGCCACTTTAGGAACAGCACTGTTAATTAGAACCCAACAGTGAATGGTCGAGTGGGGAATCCTACCAAGACATCAGAATTAATTTTAAATAATTAAATTAAATAAAAAAATCCCGGCCAACGGTAGGATTCGAACCTGGGCCATTAATTTTCTTTTCTTTTTCATTGCATTCTATCACCAGTTCTACCTGAAACGTCCGTGGGTCATTAAGTAGAATAGGTTTTAAGGTTTTGCAAGGAATTAAGGCTTATTTATAATTTACATACAATTTTAATTATTTTACCTGGTATTTGGTATTTATTTATTTTCTTCGATTTATTTGTTACATTTTATTATTACCGTCTAACACACCAAAAAATGGTGACGTGAGGTGAGACTTAGATAAGCCCCACGAAAACAACACTAGTAACCTTGGAGATGTGGATTTAACCCGAACACACTGCGATGGATGTATACAGCAATAGTGAGGCCAATCATTCCATACGGGGCTATAGTTTAGAGTAACAGAACAAGTTTAGCTACTACGAAAGCTAATATCTCAAAAGTACAAAAACTAGGCTGTGCTTCACCGGTACAATGAGAACCTATCCTACGGCCGCATTGGAGTTGATCTTAAACCTCACCCCTCTACATTTAATGTGGCAAAAAAGGACACGATAGAGAATGATCAGGAACGGAGTAATCAGACGAAAGTCTACTAGCTTCAGGACCAAAGATTCTTGGGATGTGTCTCAGGATGAAATGAAAATTTGGGAAAATACTCAAGCATCTTCCAGGTGGAAATTCAAGCCATTGAGAAGTGTATCCAGTTTAACATCCAGAAAAACTATCGTAGACCATGTCCGATAACCAGTCAGCCATCAAAGCGCTAATACTCTTATGTAATCAGCTCAAAAATGGTCTGGGTATGCATAGAAAAGCTAGGCGAAGAAAATACTCTCACTTGAGTCTCGGGACATAACGGGGTAAAAGGCAACGAGATTACAAATAGTTTCGCAAGGAAAGGAGCTCAAACACCCTTTTGTGGGATCTGAGCCGTGTTGCGGTATCAGTAGTAACATAACATTAGAAGAGATTAAAAAAGAATTGGGCAGTAGAAGAACCGATAATTGTAACAAGGATCCTTATTGGGTATTGCCGACTCAAAGGACACCTTAGAAAAACTGTATCAGAAGATAGTGAGTGCATATTCTGTGAGGAAGAGGAGGAAATCTCAATTCCTATTCTGACTGAATATGTAGCACTCCAGAATCCAAGGATACTATACCTAGAAGCGTATCAAATAGAAGGAGATTTAGCCAACTTGAAGCCACTCCAAATCCTAGAAATCTAGAACGCTGGGCTGTGGAAGTCATATTGCATCCATATTATGGTACTTGGGATATGCAAGACATGAACCTGAAATTGGGTACCCTCCGTCTAACCTTCTTCATAGCGTTTCTGACGCTGCCAACCGGCTATCGCAATAGCGGCCCCATACAGGTATCCAATGGGTTAAATTAAGGCTTTCCTTATTAAATTATTTTATTAATTGTTTGATTTAATTGTTGTTTATGTTTATCTCCACTGCGAACCGTAGTATACTAGTAATCAATGTAATAATTTGGTTTTTTGATCGTTACTTCGGGTATCTTCAAGTAACGATACTCGAGTGCCGAATTACTTTTTCAACATCACTATTAACAACTATTTATTTTTTATAACGGTCTTACAAAAGACCTTTAAAATAGTTGAAAATAAGATAGAAAACAGAAACAAACATCCAATGAGTAAAATACGAAAACGATCGTTTAGCGAATGAGACATTCATTGGTCAGTCTCTCCGAAACTATTGGTTATTGTACTTTGGCGCAATGGTAACTTTTAATCAGTAAGGCTTCCTCAATAAAATATTAAAAATTCAGGCAATTCCCAGATAGATCACTTTTCCATAAGGTTTGAGCGGGGTCCTGTTGCAAGAGTATTATCAGAACTTTTATCGTAATCACATTAAGAAATTTTGGTCGATATCTCGGGACGTATTTGACAGTTTTGATGTCCCTATTAAGTCGGCTGTTAATTTAAGTTCTCATTGCTACAATCAGGGCTTTTCATCACAATATTTTTTTGTGAGCTTTTCCAGCCATTGTTGATCAAAACAGTACGAAACTTTTGAATTTGCGCTATTTCAACATGGCGGCTGCGCTTGCGCTCATCACATGATGAAAAGGCCTATTCAAAACTTTTATTCGTTTGGTAGGCTATGGGAAAAAGCAGTTTAACAAAAACCATGGAAACGAAGCTCAAAATAATGACAGTAATAATTGTCATCTGAATAATTGTAACCTTGCAATATTTTTCATTGCGTAGTTTATCTTAAAAATGCCTATAAGTGAAAATGAGTTACGAAACATTATGCGGTAAGTTTTATAATGCAATTTAAGAGGGCCTCATTAAAAAAGGTATTTCAAACAGATTGCGACAACGAGGATTGAGTTTGAAACATATCGCTGACTTGGTAGGGACATCAAGATCCACAGTTCAAAGGACGATAGAAAGAAGCCAAAATCATGGTACTCCTGTATATAGAAAAATTCGGCAATGCGGTCGCAAAAGATATATGACCCCCACGGAAGATCGTCTGATGAACCTATCTGTCAGACGGAGAAAAATTCTAAATACGACACGGAATGGAGATCTTGCATGCTTATTGATGAATGTCGCTTTGTACTGTATATAACTCATGGTCGAATGTTGGTTTGGAGAGAAAAAAATGAGCGGTACAGAAAAAAATATGAACGAAAAGTGCCGTTTGGAGGAGGTGGGGTGGGGTAATGAGGAATAGCAAAACTGATTTGATAGTTTTGATTGGACAAAGTATGAATGGCGTTGGGTAAATTGTCATTTGTGAGTGAATGAGATGTTCCCTTTGCTCAGAACTTTGGCGAAAATTTAATTCTGGTGGACGATAATGCTCGTCCACACAGGGATCGAATTGTCCAAGAATGTCTGAGAGAGAATGGTATCAAGCGAATGAATTGCCCGACTAGGTCGCCGGATATGAATGTAATTGAACACGTGTGGAGCAGAATAAAACCAAAACTAAATCAAAGAGAGCAAGAATTACAAAATTTTGAAGAATTGGTAATTGCAGTTAGAGAGGTCTGAGTTTATTACAAACTTGGTGGACAGTATGCCGAGAAGAACAGCAGAACTTTTGCGAGTACGAGGTAGGCCTACTCGATACTAAATTATTAGTTAATATAGTTTCTCTGTTTTTTAACATTTAAATGTAAGCTGTTTTTTGAACTATTGGCTTGTCCCGGGACTTTTAGGACACCTCATATGCTATGGACAGGTTAAGTTAGCTTTTTCAAATTTGTGTTTCGTGCCGTTCTGTTGAAGTAAAATAAAGTTATTTAAACTAAAATTGTAATTTTAAAAAATGCGGACTTTTTGTAAATACCCTGTAACTTTTTTTCTAAACAAAAAATTACAAAACTGTCAAATACATACCGAGATATCGACTAAAACTTCTAAATGTGATTACGATAAAAGTTCTGAAATTGCAATTGCAACAGATGCAGGCAGTTAAAAATTTACATTTTTACATTATATTCTTTCATACCCTGTACAACACTGAAAAATTACTCTTTACTAAAGAGTGCCATTGATACAAGAAATAATTAACTTTCAGAAACTTCTTCATTTTTAAAAATCGGCTAAGGCGTTTCGAGATACAGTCTCCTACAAATGACGATAAAATAAGCTGTACCAATTCCGTGAGCAGTTTATACAGGGTGTTCGTTAAGTACGGTACATAACTTCAGGAGCGTATTCTGGAGCATATACATTATGTCTCAAAAATGCTTCGTTACGTAAATACAAGGTGTGAAAGATTACCTTTTCCCCACGCCACTGGTTAAACGAAAGCCACTGTGTTTACAGTAAAACACGCTGCGTTGCTAACTCTCAAAAGCTGCAAAATTTGAATTAAAATATATCAAGTGGTTTTGGAGATATTTAAAAATTGTATTTTTTTATGAAACTTTCACACCCTGAATTTCCCTAATGAAGCATTTTTGAAACATAGTGTATATGACAAAAATACCTTTATTTTAGCTCCAGAATATGTACCTGAAGTTATGTACCGTACTTATCGAACACCCTGTATAATTAAAAGACGTATGTTAACGAAACAAACATATTCAATAAATTCTAGTTTAGTAAAAATGTATATATACTTACCAGTCCGGCATCTTCTCTTGGCTCCAACGTAATCTTGGTTTTGTCCCTTTCACAGAGGCTTATGTAAAACTGTACAAAATCAGACTTTCGAATGCGGGGATACAAAATGCAACAAAACGCCAGTAAACATAGGGAAATCATGAAGAATGTTATGGTACTAACACGTAGATCTCTTATAAAAAATCTCGTGCATATCCTTGACACGGACGTAAATACACCTGCTACACCTAAAATTATTTTAAATATTGGGTAGAGATTGCAAGCTGTAAGAATGGTAACATAATTGTTGATAAAGTTAACTATAAACTTTATCAAACATGTTCCTAAAGCTTGCAACACTCTACATATAATACAATTGATCGATTTGCTTGTGTTGAAGTTAGTAATAAATAGCGTTTGCATATGTATGAGAAGTAATTATGTAGTGTCATTGTTGTTAGCCACATGTCAAGTCATCGGTCGGCAGCGCCTTACCCACTTGTAATTGGCAACATTGATACTATATAGTTTCTTGTCCTGCATATGTAAATACCATTTATTATTAATTTCATTACAGGCAAAGCAGGCTCAAAAGTTTAATCTTGCCAGCACTGTATATTGTTGTTTACATTAAATTTTCTCAAAATATTGTTTCTTTTCATGCCATATTTAAACTTTAAAATCTTTGAGCTATGAAACTTCATATATAAACTGGTCATTTCTTGATATCAAATTATTTTGCCAGACGCATTTATCTATTTTTTTGACTTGTTTATTGGTTTTCTCCAGATTTTTGATTCCATACAATAAGCATTGAAAAAATTCGTAGAGAACATGGAAGATGTTCCTTAGCTAATCAGTTGAACCGTCTTGACAGGAACAGCTTGGTTTATTTAAGAAGTAAGGTGGAAAAGAATATGTTTGCAGAACTCCCGGATCTTTTGCTTTTGTTCAAATGTGGACACGGCATCAAAACATCAATGTATTCGTTTGAGGATGAATTCACTATTGTTTAATTGTTTCTAAAAGAATAAATGTTTGTTATGTTCATTGTCTACCGATTCCATTTAGAAGAACATAGTTTTAATTAACGCACGCACAAACTATTTTACTTATTTCCTAGATCAATAGTGTTATTAAGAGATTACTCAGTTTTCATTGTTGTTCCATAAAACTCAGAAGCTGTATTACTGATAGCATCAAAAAAAATTATGGCCAGGTATATTAATCACCGTTGTTATGCACCAGGTGTGACACGTCAATTTTCCAGTGCTATTCCGGGCATAGTACTAAAATAAGTGTTGGGATGGTACCATTCGGTTTAAATGTTGTAGGGAAACCCGGAAAACCTACAACACCATCACCACTGTCTGAATTAAATAATTATTACTCTGTGTAATAATATTTATATATTTTCACTATTCTTGTAATTTATATGCCTACCTAAGAAGATTTAGGTAACTACAAATATTATAAGTTAATATTTATATGGGTATTTGGTCACTTACTTTCTCCCACCATAACAGCGTGGATATATTTGGGAGGCAACATACTAGTGTATCCATAAAAACTGGATTGTTGAACTGAAAAATAATAATGCATTAAATGATAAACCGTAACACTTCATAAACTTAATTATTTATCAAAACTAATCAAATATCAGGATATCTAAAATCTGATATTTTTAGTTTTCATTAGAATCTATATGTCGCAGGCATTTTAAATAATCTAGCTTTTTGTAAAAGCTAGACATTTTACTAAGTAAAAATTACTAATTAAAAATTACTACGTAGAAATTACTAAGTAAAAATTACTAGATAAAAATTACTATGTAAAATTTACTAAGTAAAAATTACCAACTAAAAATTACTAATTAAAAATTACTAAGTAAAAATTACTGAACTAAAATTGCTGAGTAAAAATAACTACCTATGTAAAAAATTTTAAGTAAAAACTACTAAGTTAAAATTACCACGTAAAAATTATTAAGTAAAAATTACTAAGTGAAAATTACTAAATTAAAATTAGTATGTAAAAATTACTAAGTAAAAATTACCTAATAAAAATTGCTAATTAAAAATTACGAAATAAAAATTACTGACTAAAAATTACTAATTAAAAATTACTAATTTAAAATTACTAAGTAAAAATTACTAAGTAAAAATTACTAAGTAAAAATTACTAAGTAAAAATTACTAAGTAAAAATTACTAAGTAAAAATTACTAAGTAAAAATTACCTGATAAAAATTGCTAATTAAAAATTACTAAATAAAGATTACTAAGTTAAAATTACTAGGTTAAAATTACTAAGTAAAAATTACTTAATAAAAATGTACTAAGTAAAAATTTACTAAGTAAAAATTACTTAGAAAAAATTACTAAGTAAAATTTACTAAGTAAAAAGGACTTTGTAATAATTACTAAGTAAAAATTACCTACTGCCGTCACATCTTGAGATGCTCATCATTCCGTTTTTTTACATTTATATTTACATTCTCAATGTCAGTTATTATCAGTTTAATGACTTTATTGTACTTTCCTAGTTTGCAACTATTATAGTTTTGTAAAAACCGCTCAGAGCAGGACTTTAACCTGCTACCTCTAGGTTGACGTCCTAACTACATAAACATTAGACCACCTGAGCGTTATACCAGTACATCCAACGACCTAATTAATTTGAGTAAAAGACTTGACTAGAACTTGGCCTTTTGCAGAAATTCATTCTTTTGTTTAAAATGCCGCCGTTTTATTAAATACCTAGTCTTCTTGCAAAAGAACGAAATATTATGTAGAGGCGAAACTATTAACTTTGTAATAGATATATTTTATTTTTGTTAGCTTCTTTGTTTTTTTAATGATCGCCAAAAATTCAGTTTTTTTTGTATATATTTATTGTTAGAAATATAAATGTGTTTTTAAAAGGTACATTTCTTATTTATATATTACTTACTTGTGCATCCTATTGCTACTATTGCTACTGCTACCAAATTGGCAGTATATGAAGAGGCTATTTTTAACGCTAAATCGCAATATATTTCAAACGTTACAACAAAAGTAAGAGTAAAAAATGAGATGAGGTAACCTAAAATGAAAATAGAAATGTTTAGTTTGATATGGTATGAAAAAATATATACTTACAGGCTGTTTCTTTTATCATGTGCCAACATTGCTGGTTGACTGATTTGGAGAACATTACCGTGTGAATTTTACTTAAAAACAAAATAATAAAAATATAAAAATGGAAAAAAATATTTTATACCAAATTTGCTATAATAACGTATCTTTAAATCATCGACCTGACGTTTCCTTTCGATAGTACGGTTTTATTTTTCTCCCTTTCAGACATCCCTCTACTCCCCCCGAGTGATTCCGGCAGACCACCCCAATCAGGTTTAGGTCCAGCCACTTGCCCACGATAATAATGCTTGGGGACCAGTCTGCTTTCCCTTCTCTTGGGGTTCGCATTGGGGCACTGAAACGTAGATGGCCTATTGCATCACCATTTCGATGTCCTACTTCTTCCCATTTATCATACATTCATTTATCACAATTCATTCCACGTCATTGATGGTTAACCGCTAGTCGGCCAAGTCCAGCGGTCACGCATCCAAGACGTGATCGGAAACATCACTACCGCGGGAACGTGAATGCACACTAGTCTCGCGGCTAGCTTCTCCAGCTAAGATTAGGATTTAGACTATAATAATGCCGGCACATGATAAAATATAAACACCCTTATAGAAGTTATTTAAACCCCTTTGTTGTAGATAAAGGAAAATGTATTTCGTAAATCTACTTTGAATATTTTTAGATTTTGTACTTACCAAACTTGATTCTAAAATTCATAGAAAATATATCAACTAGAAGATTATTCCCCAATACTGTTACTAAAGCTGTTACTATGTACACCAGAGACATATCAAAAACTACCGGACTGTCTGGGAACCGAGATTTAAAATAATCAGTGGCCATTATAAAACTGAAAAAAATTAAATATAATTAAAAGATAATTTTATACCATATCTTAAAAGTATTAAAGGTAATTTTTAAAAACGGACTACCCCTGAGGTACCCCCTTACTAACAAAAAAGAATCATAGAAATTTGACAAGGTGGTAAAGAATTACCGCTAAACATACATTAAAAATGAAGAGTTGAGGATTTTCTAATGTACCCAATTATTAGATTTTGACCAAATTAATATGGGACCACCCCTGAAGTACCCTCTTTCTAACAAACAAGAATCATTGAAATCGTACACCGTGTTAAAGAATTATCGCTGAACATACATTTAAAAAAAATATTACGACGAATAGAGAACCTCCTCCTTTTCGGTTAAAAAACAGTTGATGATGGTCCTTCAGAAGAAAACGTCTTATCCTGAATTTGACTACAACATTTTAAGTTTTTTCAAAGAATGATAAATTATCCATATCTCAAATGTGGTCAGCTTACTCAACGAAAGAATAAAATATCTTGGAGTATCTTAAAGTAGAATTATTCATTACAACTTTTTTTAATTTTTGATCAAACAGGAGACACATTTTTGTTAATACGGATTAGTTTCATTTGCGTAATAAAGGCAATCCAATGTCCCAAAACACCCACATAATTATTAATACACATTAAAATCAAAATAATTGTACAGCTTCATGTTTAACTTAAAATATCTCGAAAAATAATAACTTTATAGCTTTGAAGAAAAAGTATAATATTTACGTAGGAAGTTGGAGAAACGAAAAATTGTGATAAAATTGCAATTTCGCCAGTAGCGTAGAAATTTGGAAGGATTAACCAGTCATTTGCCCCTGTCATACGCCTCTGATGGTAGCCAGAAACGTTTATATAACATAATTTAGTAATGTGTACAGTATCTACACTTCCTGCTAAATATGACAATAATACGTCAAATAGTTTTAAAGTACTGGACAGAAATAATTTGTAAATTTTTAAACAAAACACCCTGTAACTCAGAATAGAGACAAATTTTATCTAGGTGATTTAGGTTAAATCTTCATAATTTAAGCTCAGGATTATATAGTTGAAATATTTCCAATTAGTAATGAATCGCCCTGTATTTTAAACAGACTTCAAAAAAGTAGGAGGTTCTCAATTCGTCGTAATATTTTTTTTATGTATGTTCAGTAATAATTCGTTAACACGGTGTCCGATTTCAATGATTTCGGGGGTGGTAGCACATAAATATGGTCAAAATCTAATAATTGGGTCCATTAGAAAATCCTTAAACTCTTCATTTTTTATGTATGTTTAGCGGTAATTCTTTACCACCTTATCCGATTTCTATGATTCTTTTTTTGTTAGTAAGGAGGTACCTCAGAGGTGGTCCTCTATAAATTTGGTCAAGATGTGGTGATGGCATCTGCACGATTTTAACTTATTTATGTTGTGTTTTACATGTAATAATTTGGGTGGCACCAAATTGATCAAAAAACATTTGATCAAATTGGAAATTTGATCGAAAATACATTTTATCGAATGACGTTTGATCGAAAATATATTTTATTGAGTAACATTTGATCAAAGATATATTTTTTCGGATAACATTTTATCCAAAAGACAATAGATCTAAAATTCATTAGATCGAAAGGAAAATATATCGAAAATCAACATTACCTAAAAATAGTGAAATAAAAAAAAATCAAACGACACCATGCAACCGTCCGTCTAATCCCTATTACCGAGGAAAATAAACTCAGCCGCTATCGTCAAATTGGGTACTAATGGCAAAGCTTTCCATAATCTCAAACGATAACTGCCTCATTTAACAAATTTTATCTTTACAAAACTGTTAAAAACAACCAAAACTAATTTACCTAACCTGTGCAGCCCGGAAGATTTAAATTTGATAACGTTTTTTTATTTCTAAGTTAGAATTTTTTTCAATATTTCAACCCTCCCTTATTCCTCAATTTTGATTCAGATATTTTCAGAATCAATAGGCTTCATTCCCTTACAAAGCGTGATTTTTACTAACAATTTTATGTTGATATCGTTTTTGGTGTTTGATTTCTATTCTTTTATTTCAGCAGCCCTTAACAAATTTTTTTTGTACAAATTTTTTCTGTGATGAGTGCGTATCCTCCTTTAAAAAAATCCCCTTGTTGCTCAACAAGATTAGTAAGTTAGAAAACGAAGTGAAAACCCTGAAGAAAGATATGAAAAAACTTAATGAAATAACGAAACTCGATACTAAAGAAATTTTCAACGAAGTTCAAGAGCGCTCATTGCGGGCCTCAAATGTTATGCTGTACAATGTTCCCGAATCTGTTTCTACCACGCTGAATGATAAAATTGCAGAGGATAAAGTTAAAGTTGTTAGAGTTTTGAGTAGGGTTGGGTATTGGCGAGGCTAAAATTGTAAAAGTACTGCGAGTGGGAAAAATTGAAAACAAACCTAGGCCAATCAAAACTGTACTAAAAAATCCTCAACTCGTGAACCAAAACTAAAGAAAAATGCAACATCTACTATTAAGATTGGCATGGATGAGACCAAGATGCAACAAGAACAATTTCGGAAATTCAAGATGAGTTGAAATCTAGGCTAGAGCACGGCGAAAACGATTTAGTCTTAAAATTTACTAGAGATGTCCTCAAAATAATTAATAAACTAAAAAAATGCTTAAACGGGAATACGCTGAATAAACTCACAGTATTTTTATCACAATACCGGCGGTATTCAGACGACTAAGTAGTCTGCTTTAGGATCTGCCGCAATTACTAGTAGCTTCGATGTTATAATACTATATGAAACGTGGTTGCATGAAAATTATTCAGATGCGGAAATCGGCTTGCGTGGATATACAGTTTTTCGTGCTGATCGTAACCAAAATACCAGTGACTGCACAAGAGGTGGTGGTGTTCTTATTGCGGTAAAAGATTCTTTCATAGTATGTAAACAATTCAATAGAGCATCTATTTGTAAAATTTATTATTAATGATACCATAAAAAGAAAGCTCATGCAAAGTTGATCTTTTTTCGTTTTTGAATTTTTTTTTTAATATTTTACCTTCATACGATGAAACAGAAAGATTAGGTTTCCGTTATTTTAAAAATTTTTTAATTTATTTGTAATCGTCCCCATGTTTTATTAATTTATGACTGCACCCGAAGATAGAAAAGTTTTCCGAAACATGTGCTAAACTATTGAAAATAAAAAAAAGACCGAATAAACCAAGGAAATTTTTATATAAAATTCTGCTACGGTCAAGAAATTATTCTTATTTAAATTAACTAATTTACTTAACCTGTGCGACCTAAAGCTATTTAAATTTTACTGAGTTAAGTTTTTTTTTATAAAAAACTCAACTAATTTACCTAACCTGTGCGGCCTGGAGTCATCAAGGGTTGCTTCGCAAAAAAATATACAAAAATGAGAAAAATAAAAAACAACTAATTTACCTAACCCGTTCCTGGAATCATTTAAATTTAACTGATTGATCTCGCACAGGTTAGGTAAATTAATTTGTTTTTATTTTTTTCAATTCTTTTATATTTTTCTTGCGAAGCAACGAGCGATGGCTCTAGGCCGTACAGGCTATGTTAAATAGTTGAGTTCTTTTTATTTTTTTTTTAATTTTATGTATATTTGGTTTTTCTATCAAATCTAGTCTCGATTAACTTTCATTTTTCTTTTCGTTCATTTTCCATTTTGATCAATTGTTATTCAATAATAATTTAAATAGAATATTAATAAATTGATGTTTTTAATTACAAAATTTTCTTTGTTGGAAAAAATATAAAAGCAGTTTTTCATCTCTCTCATATTTTTTTTTTTTTTTTTCGATTTATAGACATGAACGTTGGCCTCTTTGATTACAAAATACATTTTTTTTGTTTAAACAATAGTAAATATTTTTGAATTAGTCTATGAGCAATAGTGCATTAATTCACACACTTTAAAAATAAAAAAGTCCTAGTTTTCCTGCTTTTGGAACGAAATTGTTTAAAATTAGGTATTAAAAAGATTTTACTATCATGTAATTTTTTGTTCATGATATCTATATTTATTTTGTTTTCTTCCTTAAACCACTAAAACTATGTTCTAAAAAATAACAGGAATAGCACTTCCAACAGTTCGATGTTCATCAAAATATTTGAATTGATTAAATCTATTACTAAACTTCGTTAATTTATTGTTGCAGATACGAACTCAATTGTAGCCTATTTTTTGAGATATTTTCAAATACTAATTATTTTGAATTTTTTTTAAATTGTCAATATACCGTAAAGTGGGGTTACTTTTCCAGCCGGGTCAACTTTGCTTAAAAAACTAATAAATTATTTTCTGTAAAACTGGCAACGCTGCTCTAATGCAGTTGGCGGCAAAATACTACGCACTCAACAGGTTTTAGGTTTTAGGCAGTACGAGTCCGGGGCTCGGTGAAGCGGTGTGCCATATTTGAAAATCACGTGAGTAAAAATTTTATTTTGACCTCCTAAAATCATGTTGCTATGCTAAGGGTTGTGTAATAAAAACTAATGAATCTTGAATTCTGGTTTTAACATCACCTATTCCTGTGCATATGTGAGTTCTATTTCTGATATTAATAGTTTTCCAGATGCTAAATTTCCAATAATTTTTGCGGTTGGCAAAGTTGCCCCACATTGTGTGATTTTTTTTTTAAAAAATGATTCGAACCTATGAAAGACAAGTGGGTGCACGACGTTATAAATATTATACCGAAGAGCAGTTGCATAGAGCTGTTCTACTGATTAAAAGTAATCAAATGGGATATACCAAAGCATCCAAAACCTTCAATATTCCTAGAAGAACCCTAGTAAATAAAGTTAAAAAAAACTTGTAGGTCCTGTTGGAGCACCTCAGCTAATCGCCCCGAGATTGAACGGTCCATTGTCGACGTTATAATAGCCAGCTCCGAATATGGCTGCCCCCTAACCATGACAGAATTGCCAGCAGTGTTGAAGAGTCATTTAGACAAAGAAGGTGTCCGCCTAAAGAAGTTCAAAGACAATTTACCAGGTGTAGACTGGTGCAAGAATTTTATTCATAGACACAAACATAAATTATCCAACAGACAGTGCCAAAAATATTAAAAAAAACAAGAGCTGACAAAACAGATGAGAAAATGAAGAATTACTTTGATAATTTAGAAATAAATGTGTCAGGAATTCCACCTGGGTCCATCCTTAACTACGACGAGACCAATCTGACAGACGATTCTGGATCGTCAAAATGTATTTTTAGAAAAGGGATTAAATACCCTGAACGCATTATGAACTCAACAATGTCCTCAATATCCGTCATGTTTAGTGCCGCTGCAGATGGAACTTTGTTTGCCCGATATGTTGTGTAAATGGCGGGGAGATTATTTGATTCCTGGTGTATCGGCGGACCTCCTGGAACTCGTTATAATAGAACCAAATCTGGGTGGTTTGATCAGTACGCATTTGAAGACTGGTTTACACAAATGGTTATACTGTGGGCCAAAAAAATTTGGTAAGCCGAGACTTCTAATCGGAGATAATCTATCGAGTCATTTAAACATAACAATCATTAGAAAGTGTCAAAGAAACAATATTAAATTTATCTTTCTACCCTCAAATTCAACACATTTGACACAACCTTTGGATGTTAACTTCTTTAAGCCCGTGAAGGTAGTTTGGGACCATATAATAACAACCTACGAAACCAAAAATCCACGAGACAGTACAGTAAACAAAAGCACTTTTCCTCATTTATTGAAAAAACTCATTGAAGAAATAAAATTAAAAGACCAACAAATGATTCAAAATAGAATTAGAGCAACGGGAATATACCCATGTAACAGAGAGGAGGTTCTTGGATTTCCTTAAGGAAAGTAGAGCTCCCAAAAGCAAGCACCTCAAAGAGAAAGAAGATGATAAGAATTGAACTTGGCAAATCTTTTGCAAGTGAGGATTTCACGACAAGTATTCCCAAAGAAAATGAACGTGATAAAGAAACTGAAGAATATGACTGGACCCTTGAAAGTGAATCTGAGGACAAATTAGAATAAGATGAAGTCGAGGATTTCCAAAAGACTGATGACCGCAATGACGAGCCTCAAGTCCATTGCTCCCGTGATATTGTAACTAGCAAGACTGAAGATGAATCAAAATTAGTTGGAGTTAAAAATTCCGATTTTCTACTTGTAGCACTTTTAGGGAAAAACAATACAAGCATTTTGTTGCACAAGTTATTGACAAAGAAAAAGACTGCTGTAATGTAAAGTTTTTAAGACTAAAATCACAAAACAATTTTTGTTTTCCTAATATCGATGACACAGGGGCCTTATTTTTGAACACGATATTGTGACTATTTTAGAATTGCCAAAACTTGCATCGACATCAAGACAAATTTTTACATTCGAAAATTTTGATTTTTCCAAATATAATATGTTTTAGTTTTTTGTTTCGTAAAAATTTAAATGTTTATTTTGAAGCATTTGTTAAGTTTCTTTTGTGACTTACTACCTACTTAGAATAGTTAAGAATTATGTAATTATTTTGTTACCTAAGAGTTATTATTATTTTACCAAAGAGTTGTTATTATTTTATTAGAGTTGTTTGTTGACTTGCAAACAGGTAAATTTTCCTTTATTTTCTTAGAAATATAAATTTTTAATGTAAAAATGAATTATGTTTATTAAAATATTTTTTAAAACATATTAAATGAGGGTAAAGTAACTCTTCGAGACTGTTAACTTGGCCTGTACGCTTAAAAACAGGGGCTGGTAAATCAAATGGAAAAACATGAGGATGGTAATTTAGTACCACTCCAATTAACGGGATGGCGCTCGTATCGAAATGTCATGTCAGTTGTCAGCTCGTCAAAACTTCAAACCATGGAGGAAGGATCTTCAGACTTAGAAAAATTAAAATGGTTGTTGCGTTTGAAGGTGTATTGGATTTTGATTCATCTAGATTTATTTTTTAACACCTTCCAATTTTAAGCATGCTTTCAAAATATGGGAAGATGGATTCAGCAACGAACAATAAAGCACTCCCAAATATTGGTAGTGATGCAATTTATACCACATATTAAATATGCGGTCCTCATATTAAGAATAACCAAACAATTTGTAATAAGTGTCTTAAGAAAAATGCATCTTGTACTGGCACCAACGGTAAGTACTATTTAAAAACTTGTTTTTGATTCAGTGTTAAAATAATTGGTTTATTTTTTTTCTTTTGGTGTGTCAACGGCTTCAACTGTTAAGGTTATTTCGCCTCGTGTACTGTGTAGGCTTTGTTACTGTTCCATTTTAGGAACAGCACTTTTAATTAGAACCCAACAAAATTTCTTTTTGTTTTCAGTTTTTAAATGATCATTGTTGTAAAGAAAATGTTGGCCTCCAAAATACCCTGTCGATCGATGAAACATTTGAGCCTCAGCCATCAATATCAAAAATTGATTCAAATCCATTGACATCAAACAAGAAAACACCCCAAAATCTTCAAGGGTCCAAACGTGTGTAAGTTTAATTTAAGCTCGAAAGTTAAATTCATTTATCACAGTACCCAGATGATGAATAAGAATTTGATAGCTACAAGTGTTGTACAAATAAATCAATAAAACAATTATCGGATGAAGAAATGCTCCTTAACCTAACTAGTCAACTCAATAAACATATGGCAAATTTTACTCACACTCAAATTTGCCTTGATAGTAAGACACCAAAAGGATGATGCTTCAACTTCAAGTTTTTCAAACTTATTTGCCACTCCAAGTCGCAAAACTTTTATAAAGTTCTTGAGCACTTATATATGCCGATTTTGTTACAGAAAACATTTTTGATAGGTTTGTTTTATAAATATTTATATAAATGGTGTAAATGCATATTTGTTTGAGTATTTCCATGTTTAAATAGACAAATTATATGATGCGACGTTAATTTACTGTATTAAAAAATAATAAAATAAATTTTATTTCAAGTTTGAAATTAATGCAAAAATATAATGAAGTAGAATCAAATGAAAATATAAATTGGCACAATATTTGACTAGTTTCAAATCACAAAACAGTCAATATGGTTGTTTTATGATTTGAAACTAGTCAAATATTTATCCAATTTATTTTTTTTTTTTTGTTTGATTGCGCGACTAGCAAAAAGTTAAATTTCAAAAATCCCGCGCTAAGCGGCCATATTGAATTTTAGTACCACTCCAATTTGATAGATGGCAGCACATCGACTCAGAATATTACCATTGAGTTTCCCATCTATTCACTTTACCTAATCTATGCTTAAAAATGTGCAAAAATGCCAGTCGGCAAAGTAACCTCAAAGTCGAAGTAACTTTTTAAACTTTTAAAAAATGTGGGTCTAATTTTTTTTTAAGCTTTTTAATTATAAAACTATGTAGCCAAAGTATTACATTTTCATATAGTTAGAGCGGGCTTAATAATTCCCAACAGAACCATAGATATTTAAAAAAAAAAAACAAAAATTTTGTGCAAAGTAACCCCATGTACGGTACCTAATAAAGACATATTAGTGAGTGCGAATCTGATAGTGAAAGTTATTTTTCTGATTGGAATAATTTTGAATTTTTACCTATATGTAATTAAAAAACATTAAAGGCACCACTCCAAACAGACTTCCAAAATTTTTTTTTTTGTAAGAATCAATCACCTGTTGAAAAACCCTAAGCATGCGCGATAAATATTTATATTGTTAAATCTAAGGTCAAAGTTCATCTTTACCTGTTATACGGTATGAGAAACCCGATTCCTCCGAAAATAAAAGAAACGAATACCAAATTATAGTTGTCCTCTGGTAAAGACAACTCACTAAACGTTTCGGCCCTCGGTCTCGAAAAAGGCTCATCTTTATTCCTTTCTAATTTTTCATACCCAGACCCATCCGCTTTATCTTCGGACATTTCAATTAATTCAAAAATGGTTTTTGGCTTTTAATCGAACTTAACACGAAACCAAAAACCGATTAATATATTCGGGTACATTTTGGCAACTTTTTTTTGGTTGACTGAAGAGGACGATCGCTCGTCATATAAACCCCGGACTTCTGGGTTCATTACAGTTGCGCAAGGGCAGTTTCTATTGATTTCGGGAATTACGCATGCCGTGGTAAATTTGTGATAGGGTAGGCCAAGGGCTAAAATAAATAACAAAAAAAAACGATTTTCGTGTATCTAACTGACAAAATCGGAAATCGTTTGACATCGGAGACGCAAGCAACAGTTTATTTCATTAGGTAGAGTAACATTTTTCCAATTTGAAAAATTCGTTTTAAAAACTTAAAAAATGTAGAAAACCTAGAATGTCAGATGAGCTTTTTATTAATTACCTACCTGATTAGAAAACTAATAAAGCGCCAAGTATCTAAATACCTACGAATACTAGTCGTTAACTACTTTACCGACCGGAAAATCATAAATGATAATGGAGAAGAGTATATGATAACAGCTGGAGTTCCTCAGGGATCTGTCTTGGGTCCACTAATGTGGAATATCCTATATGATGGAATATTACGCATAGAAACAATGCCTAATATTAATCTCATTGTCTACGCAGATGACTTAGCAGTTATAGTCACAGAGAGAACGGAGGAAGGCCTCATAATTTAGCAGTTATAGTCACAGAGAGAAAGGAGGAAGGCTTCATAATTTCGGTTAACATCATTCTGGAACAAATCAGCGAGTGGATAAAACTAAGTGATCTTAAACTAGCACCGGAAAAACAGGGGCGGTGTTACTAATTGGTAGGAAAAAACTGAGTAGATCAATTATACCAAAAAATAGTACAAAGTACCTGGGTGTCACATTAGATAAAAGCTTGTCATACAAGGAACACATAGAGAACGCAGTGGCCAAAACAAAGAAGGTTATGGCCTCGTTAATAAAACTAATGCCTAATAAAGGGGGAGCTACGGAAACAAAGAGAAGACTATTGGGAACAGTAGTCCATTCAATCTTATTGTATGCATCAGAGATCTGGAAAAATGCTTTGCATAGACAAATAAACCGAAAAAAGCTAGCACAATTACAAAGAACGATGGCGATCAGAATCTGCAGAGGATATAAAACAATATCTATGGAAAGCAGCCTCGTTATCTCCGGAATTATACCCATAGACTTGCTGATTGAAGAAAGATGTAAAGTTCAAGGTAAGAGCATAGCTGAAAAGAAAAAAGCTAGAACAGAAACTATAGAAACGTGGCAGAGAAAATGGGAAACATGTGAAAAAGGAAGATGGACGTACACACACATAACAAATATTGAAAAATGAAATAAACGGAAACTAGGAAACGTCACAATTCATATTACTCAATGTCTAACTGGTCACGGCTGCAGTGGCGGTTTGCCCGTAAGGGCACTTGGACACGTGCCCTAGTATAATAAACCAAAAAAAAAAACTTACATATTTTATATTTTCCTCAATGCCTATTATTATTTTATTTAATATTCAGCGCAAACCGCGTTGGCACGACACTGGACGATCGGGAGTTGAGCGACGTTCCGAGAATTCCGAAATTAAGTGGGCCCAAGGCACAGTAAATGTGTGCCTCTGTTGTTTTCTCTCTCATTATGATGCGAAAAACAAGGACAATGACAATATCGCTTAGCAAGAGATGAACACATGCGATGGATTATAGGTCACAAGCGGAGCGCTGTACTCATCGTGACGTGCTGTACCCATGGCACAGATTACCTAGACTAGATACGAATGTGTACGCAGCGGCATCTTTACCGGCTCCCTCACAAAGGCGATGCCGGTTTCGGCTTAAGGTGCGCGTTTGTTGGACCATGATAATAATTTATTTATTGTATTGTATTACGAAAAAACGTTAGTTGGACCATTGGAATAGTTAAGAAATAAAACCACAAAGAAAAATATTTTTTTATACAAAGAAGTCAAAAATATGATGAAAAAAATCAATAATATTTATAAATGGGACCAAATTTTAATTTTTCTTTTGGTTTTGTCTGACTTTTTCGGGAATTTCAAATCTCTGTTTGCATATTTAAGAGTATGAAAAATTCTGAGCCTTATAAATAATTTAATGGTGTACATTTTCGCAAATTGTTGGCAAGGATGACCAAATTCTATGTTGCTCATCTCAAAAAGGTATGCGCTGGAAATTCCAGGCTTAGTTGACAAACTGTCAAATAGAGATATAAATATTTTTTTTAATTTGAAAATATAAAATAGAAATTTTTCGCTGGGAGATTTTAAATTGCTCCTGCAGGATGGAATTTTACATCGAAGTGTGTCAATACTATTTATGTTTATAAAGAGGATTTTATTAAATGTCTCGAAGAAATTATGGACGCAGAATTCGATAAAAAAACTGTTAGCCAGACTAAAGGATTGATAAATTTTGAAAGACAGATTTTAGTTTCTGGTTATTTTTCTTCAGCAAAATAATGCCAAATTGCGATATTGTTATGAATAAATATAACACCCTGTGAATAGGTATGTTATGATTTGTAAAGTTTTGTCCAAGGGTAGGCGCGCTAAACAAATATTCAATAAAATAATAAAACGTGTAGTTGGACAAGGTTTTATTAAATCATAATATTAAAGTGCAGGGTCAAGAAAGATCAACAAGAGCACTCTTGAAACATTACAAGTGAATATTCGGGGAGTTCCTTTTGGTCTTCGTTGACAAGCGGTCCATAGTGATAAAAGTAACGTGTGCTTCCGCCAGCCTTGCAGCCCAACAGATATAATACAATGCTTATGTAAGTAAATAGTTTTAAGTAGTTATATTTAGTTATTGTGTAGTCAGTAAAGACTACGTGATTGCGGAAGCAATATTAGTTGTTTTTATTTGTTAAATAAATCACAGTTATTTGTTTTACGCTTGTTTCAATTTTCTTTGGTTTATGAAAACTTACGTGGGTATCGGCTTAGTCAGATCTCTGAGAGAGGGAGATACTGCCAAAGGGAAGAGTCCACGTAGGGTAAACCCTTTCCCCGTCTGTGACAGGCTCCTGGTTCACCTACAGTGAATCAGCGAGTCTGTGTGGCGCTATGAATGTAATTCCCGAATAGCGGTTGCTCAGGCGCCAGTATTGGTATCGCAGTTTGCTCTGCGACCCTGTGGTACACCAGAGTGTACTCAAGGTGAACTCAGTGGAGGTAAAAATAATTCCAGGCGGTCACTACTAGGTAGCCACTATACTAGAATAAATAAAAATAAAACACTTATCTCCTTTACACCTCGTACCCTACGGTACCCTAAAAGAGAACGGTTAAGAACCAGTAATAAGAGAAACACAGGAATAGGTACTAAAATATATATTTACAAAAAAAATAAATACAACGGTAATTATATATGAACGGCTCCCTGCATTCGGAAAATCTATTCTTTAAAAATAAATTATTAAAATTGAAAAGTATTTAAATATTGACGGATCCCTCCCTATATACGGAAAATTGAATAAAAATGAATTATTAAAGTTGAAAATTATTTAAATATTGACGGATCCCCGTATTCGGAAAATTTGTTAAAAATAAATTATTAAAGTTGAAAATTATTTAAACATATAAAAATATTTATGGTTAATTAGCACAGGAGGCTAATCGAACTGGGAATTGTGAAACGTCCAGTATACGGAAAATGTATGAAAATAAATTAATACACTTGAAACAATTTAAATATGACGGTAATCAAATGCAAACAAATAAATGAACTCAAAATTGTCGGAGCCCTCTTGTATCTTATTACCCAAGCGATGGGAAACGAAAATTCTCGCCTACTGATAAATATGGTTTATTTACGCGGTGTTTTGAACGGCGACCAAGACGGTCGTAGAAAATAATATTTTTGAATTTTGCCCAGCGTCTATCGAGAGCATATGTGTGAATTTAATTTTACAGAAGTCGTCGAAATTCATTCAATAACTAATTGTGGACGGGAATGATTCAAATACGGCTGAATAAAAAAATCAAAAGAAAAGAAATTTTACACGAATTTAAATTTTTGGGAAATTAGACAACGTCATCAGAAGAGAGAGCTCTCTAACCCAGGAAACGAATCGAACCTCCGAAAAAGGAAAAAAAAAATAAAACAATAAAATAATAAAAAATCGAAAACAGGTCGAATCTTTCACTTCGATGTTAACTGGGCGGTTTTTAAAATAAATTGGACATAGTCGCTGACAAAGAGCGCACTCAGTGTCTAGTCTAGGTCCAACCTCAAATAAAAAATTGTCAACGGTTTCCCACTGAGGGATGAAATAATATATCCTGGATGTGAATCAAAATTCTTCACTTGTCACACTAATTATATATAAGCCAATATAAAAAAATAATAATATACGGTTCCTACCTTAGCAGATAAACGGGGTTAATCGATGAACTAAATCACGGTACTCACGGCACTAGGTACTAAGGGTGAATAGTTTTCGGCTATCGGCAATCAAGAGAGAAGAGCTTACGCCGGCTGGCAAGCGAGCAGAGCGCGTAATTCCCAGATGGGATTTAATTTATGCTTTTTCGGTAAAGCAAGATGGAAGACCAGTAGGCCCGAGTGGGGATACCACCACTACAGCTGACTGTTTACAATTTAGAAATATAAAAAATGCCCTTCTAGTACCTTGATAATTAAAAGTAGATAATCCATACGAAATCGACTCTAAAAATGCCCATTCGGATTTCGGCAAATATAAGAATATTTTAATCTACGAGGGTACTCGCAATTGTTGAAAAACGGTAATTCCTGGGAAACAGAAATACGGGGGAACTTCTACATGTTCTCAGGCGGGAATCAATTGAAATATACATTTTTAAGATGAATTAAAAATAAAATTTAGTGACTTCGTCACACGTCCTCTGAATGATCGTCAGGAAGTTAGGGTCCCTTCTGAACTTAACCCCCTAGCCGTGTGTTGTCTAGAGGCCAATTTAAATACAAATTGGGCCCCTCTATATAACTCGTGGTTACCGCTAAGAGTGGACTTAAGGGTCAGACAAAAGGCCCATAATCTCACTCTTAACAATATACTTTTTGATCAACTGCAGAGTAGACAGCTCGATTCTCTCAAGGTTAAGATAAACATATCAAATTTTGCAGCAGCTATTCAAAATATTAGAAATAATATAGA